TTGAGAACCACCCATATGGAACAGAGTCAGAAGTCCTTTTGTCGGCCCAGATGTGTGTCAACGCAAGCAGGACAAACCCACCATGCGCAAGAACCGTCAGCGAGAAGCCAGGCTTCGAACACTCGCTGGCTCCCGTAGCAACAGCGATCAGGGTTGTGGTGGATCACTCGGGGTTTATCCAACGTTTGTGGTACTTGAAGGAGGTCCCTCTTTTTTATGGGGGTTGGTCTTCGGGGTTCGGCCCTGTTTGTTCATAGCACCAACTTGCAAAATTGGCATTTAGAGCCGGGTATTTTTAGGAAGTGCCGAACATGGACGCAGTACATATATATACCTAATTATATATATATATATGGTAACCAGACACTCGTGGGTATCTGCTGGTTTTCCTCTTTTTGGCTGGGTCTCTGGGTGGCTTTTATCAGCCTTGCTTTTGCAGGGAGTGGGCGGCTTCCCTTCTTCAGCTTGTGTTTGGCAGAACGAGGTGTCTGAAAGCGGGTTGCTTTCTGTTTGCCACTTGCTGCAAGGCTCTTCTTAAAACCAAGCGAGCGCGGGAATAAAGATCAATCAAAGGGTTGGTGCACGGGAAATTCTACAGGAAAACAGCGAACCAATCCCTTTGAACGAAGCCTCTACAGTGGTCTTCTTTTGTTTCTGTCATTGGCATTGGGGGGGAACTTCCAAACACAGCCATTGTTCCCCACGGGTTCCGGATGTCGTTTTCTGAACCCACCAGATGGGCTTCCTGACATCGATGGTATATCAATTTATTCAAACCCTCAAAACCGTTGATTTCATGTTTGCCTCGAAAGCTATCAAAAAAAATCCACCCCCCCAAACAAATCACGCTCCAAAAAGATGTGGGTCCCAACACACTCGTTCGACCACACGCCCAATGCGCAGGAGGACGTTAACGGATCACTTGATCATTCGCGTTCGGGTCCTGCTAGATAGAAATTCAGAGCCAAACCTTTCAAGGACGGGCATCGACGCTGAAGTTGTCCCGTGCCCGTGTGCCGGACCGGTGTACTCCCCGAGTTCAGAAGGAACCCCAAAAACTCGATTCGTGTGAAAAGGGCAGTGATGCTGAACCCAGACATCGGAAATATGTCCAGGGGACCTCCGTTTTGTGGAATCGACACGGTTTTGGGGTTCCGCGGAATATTTTCGTATTTTCAGCTTCTGCATGTCAAAAAGGTACATTCGAAGTCGACACCGCGCTCTCGGCGGCATACCTAAGGCGTGTGCCGTTGCGCGTACAAGATCGACAATCTTCCGGGGAGTCGCAAACAAGGATTTTCACACACTCCATTCATGACCCTTGAAAATGGGGTCATTACCCAAAATGTTGGGGTCATTCACCCATTTTTAAAAAGGCCACGGAGACTCCAGGTAGGTATTCTCAAAACATATTTTGATGTTACTGAGGCTAAGGATGGCTGACGTTTTTCAGCCGAAGATACTTGTTTGGTGTAGCCTGGGGTTGCTCTTAGAGGCTTCAACTTGGGGTGAGCATATTTCAAAGGATTAGTGTTGTTCCAGCCTCGGAATTGTAGGAGAAGTAATATGACTCGAAATGACCCCGAACACGGTGGTGTTCCTTTTGTTCCATCTGAACAAAACTCCAAAGGGTATCAAATTTGGTTTCCGTGTGGTTTTCCCTTTTAGCTCAATCTTGTCGACCTCAGATGGGCGGGTGTGTGTATGGTTTCCCAGTGAATCGGTGACTCCCGGCGTGGCTCACAAAGAGCACGCCCCCTCGCGAGTCGCGAGCGCGGCCGTGTCATTTTGAACCTCAGAGCGATGGACCTCACGGGCTCTTTACTTGGCGAAACGTTTTACTAGTGGTTCTTTTGAGTTTGGTTCCCTCACTTTCTGGATTGGACTTTATACTTTTTGGGAAGATCATTTCAGTGGCAGACAGAAAGTTCAGACTTCGTCTGGCGGATCCACTCAGGAAGTGAGTGCCCTTTCCAGGTTGGTTGGAAATGAAACCAGAAGGAACACAATTTGTGGGTTCCTTTGTTTTCCACTAACAAGGCAAAACACATATATATATATATATATTTGCTGGGGTCCTAATTCCAGCCTAAAACAGACACACCCAACTCATGCCCGTGAGGTGCCCCTGGGTTGCAAAAAAGAAAGCGAGTTCCATGCTGGCAGAAGCTCAAGGGGGCAGACGCCAGAAGCCAGAAGCGCCGGCATGCGGCCACCCGAATGGATCAGCCCTCTCCAAGGTGTAAGAAAAGAGATCACCATGCTTAAAGAAGCAAGCAAAAAGACGGACCCGAATCTTCCAGACTCCCTTGGACAAACGAACAAGCGGGGATACGGAGGGAGTGGTACAAATGGGGGGGATTCCCTTGGCGCCATTTCCCATCTCAAACTCTGTCAAGGCGCAAGGGGGAACCCTCCCGTATCCAACTGGCTCACCCTGTGTGCCTGCTAGTTGGTTTCCCTGACTGCAGGGCTGAACAAGTGCCTAGGTTACCCCCTTTCGGCCTTCAGAAAGAGGAGATGATGCTTCCAGGACCCCTCAGTCAGGTTCGATGTTAGTCTAGAAAATAGTTTGGATGTGGCTTTTGTGGATCCACCCCTGCAGAATATTAAAAGAGTACTAAAAGCTGACTTTAAAAAAACACGGGGGAGAACAGGTGGAATCCACAAAAAGGGTATCTCATGGCTCTGACCGGAAAATGATTCGATATGTTACAGGACACCTGCACTCCCTATGGGTTTTATATCCCTCCTAGGTCCCCCAGTAGTGCCCTTTTACCCTTTTTTTGGGGGGAGGGGGGGTTCCCCGACTAAAATAGACTACAGAAAGAAGGGTACCCTTATTCTAGCCTCTCTGCTGGAGGACCTAGTCTCAATGGGTGGTTTCGTTTGGTGGTTTAGACTTGGATTTGAACCCCTGGTTCTTGCAGAGGGTTAATGGGAAACCACCCCTGAACCAAACGGGGCTCCAAATCACCAGGGAAGCTGACCTCACAGGGCTTTCTGGAGAATTCAAGTGTTCTTGGCTTGCTCACTTCCTGAGTTCATGAACTTTAAACTTTTTGGGTTTGGACCATTTTAGTGGTAATTGTAAAGTTTGGACTTTTTTTGGGCCATCCACTCAGCCAGTGAGCTTGCGAGAATTCGCGAACTCGCTCGGAGCGAGCCTCGGATTCCGCAGACAGCGGCGCTCTTTTTGCTGGGCTCACAAGAAGCCATCCGGGGGTCCGTTGCGTGCCAGCCGGAGTTGTTGATCCGCGTTAATGAGGCGGTACCTTCTTGTGGGGGGAGAAGAAAATCCACTTTTTTGGTGTCCCCCCTTTTTTGGTGTCCCTAGAACAAGACACATGCTCATCCGAAGTTAGCATGATGTGAGGTCTATAGTTTTGAACCTTGTAACTATCTGGGAACCCAAAGTCAATGGGTTTTGGGCGCTGGGGTTGTGTCTCAACATTTGGGACTTCAGTTTCGGCGGTTCCCCGAGTCTCAACATTTGGGACTCCGGACACCTCCAACAGTTTGTGAGTGTATAGTACATATATACATTAAACAATGTGCAATTCATGGATTGCTCAGAATAAACTTCCCTTACATTTTCTTACTTTTGGACACACACACACACACATCGACATGTGTAGTACTTTCTCTCGCCTAGTTCCAAGGGAAGCCACTTCTTATTTACCCGGTCTCCCATAGTTTGCCTTGAGCCGTTCAACCTGGCCTGCAGCATTTGTGGTTGCTTGTTCCTGGGTGTGTTTCTCATTTGCGGAACCTGATGTTTCGGGGTCCTGAACGACGATTTTCCTGCTTAAGGGGCCTTTGGTGGGTTCCATGTTAGAGGACAGGAGGGTAGTCTTGGGATTGGGACGCTAACAAACATACCATCCTTCTGACCTGCAAATTGTGGATTTTGTGTGAAGGGCGTCGTCTTCTCGGTTGGTTGGACAATGGAGTCGTCGCTTTTGTAGAGTTTCAATCTTGGCCTCATGGTTTCTGTGGTTTCCTGTTAGCTCAAAAGAGGTACCCAAACCCTTCTCAAGCAGAGGCATATCCGAGGGCCTCGGAATTCGCTTCGTTCTGTTGGTGGAGGCAAGCGCTCGCCTTTCCCGCGGGCCCAACCAAAATGAACGAGACACGTGACGCGCTTCTTGTATGTTGGGCGTTTTTCAAGACCTCAGCCTCAGGCCATGCTGTGAAGCTGTCACGCGCTCGGGCCCGCACGGTTTCCCTGCGCGGAGTGCGACAGCCAAGAAGGCAAAAAGCGAGTCTGTGGCCGGGATGGTTGCTTCTTGGATGTTAGGACTTTAACTTTTTGCCAACTAATGGGTTTTCCTCATTAAACCACTAAAAGTTAGTCACTTTTAGCAAGGGAGCAGAAAATCAACCGAGTTTACTCGGGATCGACAACAGTGAAGGTTATTCGAGGAATGACAATGGCCCACATACGGAGTCTTGAGTTGATCAAGCAAAGTGACTGGTAGTTTCTTGGCTTGGGGAGGGCGAGAAGGGGGACACCACAATAACGCTGGGGACGCCGTTCCCAGGTGCTTGTCAAACCTATGACTCTGCTTGGCCCACTTGTTCAGATGATGGGTCTTATAAATACATGATACATATATACACATACATGCATACATACATATGTACGTACATACATACATACATACATACATACATACATACATACATACACACACATACATACATACATACATACATACATACATACATACATACATACATACATACATACATACATACATACATACATACATACATACATACATACATACATACAACAGATATACAGATACACATATACATATGTGCAATGCATATATGTTAGATACATGTATGTCTATAGAGAGATGTACAATGAGTACATCCTGGACATATATATATATATATACATGTATATGCACATATTTCCTTGTGTCGTGCCTGCTCGAGCGGTTCCCAACGACCTGGGCTGCCATCTCGCTATTTGTTTGCCACGCGAGGAGGATTGGGCGGTGGACACCATGCCCCTCACAGGCGATGGGAGTCCGGGAGGGCAGTCCGGAGGTCTCTGGGTCAAAGCCTTGGGTGGGTACCTTTGTGTGGTCAAGGGAACGTCACCCATTTAGTGTGTCAAAAGCCCCCTTTATCTGGGAGTAGTGGGTCTGTTTGAAACAGGGTGTGTTGAGTTGGCAAAAGGTGTGAGCGTGCCCCTTGGTTTAGAAAGGGTTGTAATTCAGTCGTGAGGCAAGTTGGATGTTTGCAAATTTTGACTTCAGTGCTCCTGCTTGATGTCGGCCATTCCCTTTTTACGAAGCCACTTCAAAACATCCATAGCCATCGAGACGGGTGCTGCTCAACTTGGTAGGCTCGTCCAGGTCAAACACTGGTTGTAGGTCACAAAAGTTTGGGCTTGCGAACAATGTTGGCACATGTTTTGGATCCTTTCACAGGGAACCCTCATATCCCCGCCCACAGCAACATTGGCCCGGATGTTTAAAGGGCTGTCGACAAGTTCGCGGAATTCTTCTGGACCACCTCAAATCCTCGCCTTCAACCCCTCTGAGGCAACCTCAAACCACCTAACCACCACCCACCCCACCATAAAAGTGGCTTAGCAACAACTTCAACTTCACCCGCAACCCACCCAAAGGCGCCTTCCTACCTCCAGCCTTCAGCCGCATCTCCCCGCGCGCCTTCGCCGCGCCTTCGTGCGTTTTCGGCGCGCGAAGTCGTCGAGGGGACGAGCTGTCCTTCGCCCTGGGCAAGGAAGGATCCACGCGGCGGAAGCTGGCGGCCGCCAGCGGCCGGGGGGGGGGGGAGGGAGTTGGGATGGATGGGGGGGGAGGGGTTGGGGAATCTGTGGAACCACTTGGTTCTTTTCGGGGGGGGCTGTGGGTTTGTTGTGGTGGTGGTTGCTTTTTCTTGTATTTTTCCCAGTTGGCGCGTAGATTTCTGAACCTGTGGGGTTTTTGGGTTGGGGAGAGCTATAGTTCTATGGTTCTGTGGGTTTGTGCGTGTGTTTTTTGGATTTTGCGCCATACCCCTTTTATAGGTTGGTTGAAGAGGAAGCCAACAACGATCACACCAAGTGTTGGGGCCTGAATAAGGGTATCCTTCAAAACAGGCATGCCCATATCAGCTCACTCCCGGATTCTTTGGAGTGATTCGGGGTTTGGGGCAAATCCACCACCCTGAGAGACCAGTGGCTTCCTCTTCGGACTTCCGTCCCTCCAAACCATTGCCAGTTTGTAGCGATCTTGGAGGCAAGACAAACTCACCATTCGCGAAGGTCCTTTGCTTGGGGATCCAAGTCTTACTTCAGCTTTTGGAGTGATTGTGGAATTTGCAATGGAAAGCCACCCGTCTTGGTTTAGCAAGACATCATCTATCAACTGCGGTTCCGCTCAGGGTGCACACACACACACACACACCCATCCCTGTCATGTAATGGGCACCCGGATTCCGTAAACTCGTGGTTGATTCGTAGGTAACACCCACAAAATCCATGTACGTCAGAAAACAATTCAACCCATGAAAGTAAATGATGAAGCATGCAGACAGTGATCTACGAAAAAGAACAAGACAAGCATTTAGCCCGTGAAAGTAAATCTGAGTACATGTAAAATTTGCATCTGAACCCTCAAACCAACCCCCCCAAAATGGACATCACAAACCATATTTTTGGTTGGCAAGAAACTATTCGCATGGGTTTTTTGAGGGTCAGGAAGGCAGTGATACCACCCACGCAATCCATGTAGGTCATAATAACATTTAACCCCTGAAATCAAAATGTGGGTGATGAAGCAACTTAATTTCATTTAACCCAGGAAAGCAAATGTAGGTAATGAAACATACAGGCAATGTCTTTCAAGTTAAGCACAGATGCGATAGCTGCATCTTTAAATTATAATTTTGGTTGGCAACCAATTTGTATGACGGGCGAGAACCCGTTTGTATGGGTAGTTTGAGGGTTACATACACTTGAACCCTCAAACTGCCCCAAAAAGAATTGCATAATTTTGGTTGGCAACAACTCATTTTTGTTGGGGTAGTTTGAGGGTTCAGGCTTGTAGTTAATCTTTCAATCAAAGCTTCGCAGGCTGCATCTTGGAGTACGTGGGGAACGTTGCCTGCATGGCCGGTATGCCGCCTGAGCGCCAGCGCGCGCGGGACCGACAAATCGCGCGGTTTGGGGCGGTGCGTTTGGGGGCGAAAGGTGACTCTTGTTGGGGGTTCGGTTTGGGTCACGGGTCCGTGTTGTTGGGGTTTGGGTCCGTTCTTTTTGGGTTGGAAGCTCTTTCTTTTCAGAGTGGGGGTCCCTTTTTCTGGGGTTGGGGGTCCGCTTTTGAGGGAACGCAAACAACAGAATTAAGTGGAGTGAACAGTTGTATGTTTTCACGATTTCTTTAGGTCGCGTTTTGAAGCTAGACAAGACATGAGCTTCACAATTGCTGTTTGTTGCCTTGGTACTCTTTTTCAGATCGGTTTACAGGGAAGCCAAAAGGACACCCGGCCATTTTGGTTTGAATCCGCATGTAGACTGTCGGGTGAACGGACCGGGAGGTGCTGCTTCACTGGTAGCGGTCGGACCGCAAGTTTCTGCCAGTGAGCAATTGGTGCCCTTCTCAACCCCTTTTTTGGGGTTGGGTCCCCCTACTAAAATAGCCTACAGCAAGAAAGTCGGTACCCTTATTCTAACCATTTCTACTGGAGGACCTAGTCAAGATAAGACTTGTGGACCGTGGCTTTGCGGATGAGTCGCCATTCTCATACTCAGTGGCGAGGACAAAACAAACAATCCCAAGGACGGGCTCCTCACTTTTTTATTGAAATGACATGGCTGAAGGGCCCTGTTGAATGAATGGGCGAACCAAAGGAATGGTCATTCTTGTCATGAGTCGTTTGAGCAGTATTTGTTTGGATGTTGTCTCCTCATGCCATCTTTCTGTTCTGCCCCCAGGTATCGTCTCCTAAGGCCCAAAAACCCCGGTGGTTTCCTTTGAGCAGAGCCACGTGCTCCAAACCCGGGTAGATGAGGCTTAGAGGACGATCCCAACCATAGATAGCTGCGGCCGGCTTCTTAGTTCCTTACATGGTTCTGCGGATCGACCATTTAGGACCGGGTTTTGATTGTGACTCGGGCGATTTTTTGGTTGGGCCACCCAAGTTGAACTGGAGGACTACATCACCTGGCTGAAGCAGCAGCGCGTGGGCCCGGTCTTCATCGACATCAGCCAGCGCACGGACGCCACGGAGGTCGCCAGCGGGGGCAGAGGGCATCAGGGAGGGGCGCTTGGACCCATTTCCCGGCACGGCACAGCTGGCCTTCCGGAAGAGTTTGGGAGGGCCAGAAAAGAATGCACCCCCGAACAAGGGACCCCTCGAAAACGGGTTGCTTTTGAGGTTTTCTCTTTTTTTACGGCCCATCCAAAAAGGGAGATACCCACTTTGTGTATGCTGGGAGCGGGAAAAAACGGGGGCCCTGCCAAGAAACATGCGCGAGCATCGCGAGCAGCCGCTTGGCCAGGTGAAAGTGCCCAGAGAGCTCACGGGCATCCTGAAAGGACGCCCAGCGGCCTCAATGTTTTCTTTTTTAGTGGTCGAGCCCTGGGTCAACACCAATGGGATCCCATTTTGGGGGTAGGTGAATTCACCACCCAGTTCGTCTTTTTTAGTGGTTGGATTGGTTGATGTTCACTGGGGGCTCACCGGGATGAAGAAACCCATGGCCACTTCAGGCAACCCCGAAAAATGGGGCGGGTTGGAGCTCGGTGGTTTGGATGTGGAATAACCCTATGGGAAACTCCCACCAGACGAGAATTGGAACACACCACCAATGAGAGGGAAGCTGACTGCCTGTTCACTTGGCGGTTGTTGGGAAGTTGATTGGTGGCTTTGGTGCAAGGGAAATTACATTAGGGGGGGGTCAATATGTGTTAAATAGTTCGAGACCCGATATTTAGCACCTGTGTTGATAGGAAGTTGATACGGGGTTCATAGCGAGCTGATAGAGGGTTTATTTGAGGGTTGAGGGGGGGGGGGGGGTAATGGGGATTGATGTTGATAAGCGGGTGATGGGTTGAAAGGGTTGACAAGGGTGGGTTAAGCATTTACAAGGCGCTAATAAGGTGGAGAGAGGGTTGATCGAGGGTGAATAAGCGGATGAGTGTTAATTGATCAGGTGCTTAGACAGTCACCAGTGCTGGCAAGCGTGCCTGCAACTGAACACGACCGAACTGAACGCAACAAAGCTATAATCTTGGCTGTTCAATGGCACACCCCTCCATTTTCGGTTTCAGTTGATCCCAGTACAAGATGCCTTTCGCCCCAGTGCTGGGAACAGGATCATTCAAGCCCATTGCCTTCTGAAAGCGCCGTTGGCACGTCACGGGCAACTCCGTCAGATATGGAACCACATCTTATCCCAACAAAAAGGGTGGCAGAAGGACCTGAAAAGGACAATCGTGCTTTGCCGGGATTGTTTAGACTTAAAACTCTTGCCCCTCGCGCCCCTTCGATCAACCCCCGCAACAAAAATGTAGCAACCAACGCTCGGGCCGCGGCGATGGGAGCTTGGCGCGAGGAACAACTCTACGAGACATCGAGCACGAGACCGACACCTTCTGCTTCCTCGAGGGCGACGTGGACTCTTCCGCGGGGGTCCCGGAGCGAGTTGCTGCGTTCAGGGGCCCTTAGACTGGGTCTCGTGTACGCAGAGCATGATTTGGTTTGGCGTTCCCCGGCGGGTAAGGACCAATCCTCGAATCCAACAAAACAACCCGACGTGACACTGGTTATATAGGTCCGCTCCCAAAACCCCTGTTGATTCGCCGAGAACGAGCCAATATAGTGCTACAGCAGGTAAGCACGATTCCCTTCATGTGAAAGAAAGGGATGACGAGTGACCAAAATGGCTTGGAATTGTGGCATCTTCTTTTACCCAGTGTGTTTTTTCCCGAAAAAAAAGAGACTGGATTTGTCCGTCCTTTTTGCATCCAACTGCTTTGATAAGGAATCACCCAACTGCTGGAACTGGGTTCCCCCTTGCCCATCATAGCCGACGATCGGAGGGGGTTTCAGCCCAACATGTGCGACAATTTTGCAAAAAGAGGAACGCTTTCCTTTTTGGCGAAGCCCCCGCTTTGATGTTTTATGGATTGTTGAGGGTAGGGGGCGGGCATTGAGGGGTTGCCTAGCGTTCCTTAGGGTTCCTTAAGCTCCCCCCCTTGCCTCCCATAAGTGCTTGTTAGAAGGAGGGTAACTGAGGTGATGCCTTGTGGTGTCCCTTTAAACCCACAAAAATCGGGCTACCAACTCCAAAAAATGACACCCTTGTAATGGTGGTTTCCTGTTGGTTTCCTGTTGGTTTCCCTACGGGGTCAACCCATGTTTGCTTCCCATCAAAACACCAGTGTCCATTTCCTTCCTTTGTTGCATTTTGCTTGGATGTTAGGACTTTAACTTTTTTCCAACTAATGGGCTTTAAAAGTTATGTTTTTTAGCAGGGGAGCAGAAAGCAACCGAGCGATCATCTAACCCCACAACAAGAATCACCCCACAAAAAGAACCGGTTTCGCTTCCCATCTTGATTTCCCTACGGGGCAAGCCCTCCCATGAAAACATCAGTATGGTTCTCCGAATCTCTTTTGCTTCCCATCAAAACATCCCTGTCCTTCTCCTTCTTTGGTAAACCGAAAAGAACAAAAAGGAAAGGTATCAACTCCATCTTGTTTGGAACCTCCCCCACCAAAACCACCGCGGTACCCACCTCGCTTCCGCGGTTTTCCGCGGTTTCAGCGCCCGCGCGCTCGAGGAGCGTCTGCTGATCTTCGGGGCCACCCGGGGCCGCCGCAAGGCGGAGCGCAAGGCCGGGGGCCGCACCGGGCGCGAGGAGAGAGGCTTCCTGGGACCTCGGGGGTGGTGTGCGTCTTGTTTTGGGTTGTATTTTTGTGTTGTTTCTTCTTGTTTTTTGGGAAGTCTTGTGTTTTGTTGTTGCTTTTGTGGTTGGTTCTCCGTTTTTGGGGAAGTTGGTCTGATTTATTGGTTTGTGTTTGGGTTGTTGCAAGGTGCACGTTTCTGGGTGTTTTGGCTTTGAGTTGGTGCCCTTTTCAGTTGATTTCAAGGGGAACTCGGCAAGAAGCTGGGCCTCTTCTTTGGGGATTCTACTTGAGACTATCACACTGGCTGTGTTTTTGCTTTTCGTCCGGCACACTGGCACCCTGTTCTTCGATATATTTGTTTCGGGGTGTCTCATTGAACTCGAGCGTGTCCGTTACAAGGTTGATGTAGTTGAGATTGCTGGTTCCGGGGTGAACATTTTGTCGGGGGTGGATAGTGGGTTGCTTGCGGGGCTGTGGATGGTCCAGCTTTTGCATGGACCAGGAAAGAAAGGTGGGTTTTGCTCTGCTGAGTTCAGGTTTGGCCTGATTGCAATCGCTGGGGTGTATTCCGCGATTCCAATCCCTAAAGGAGCCAGCAAACGGCTAGACATGCTGTTTTTCCACACTAACTCCGCAATGAAGCAGCCCCGTTGGTGATGAACGTTTGCTTCTGTATTTGCTTTTTTGACCTCCCCCCCTACCGGAGCCTTCGCCTCCCGAGTGTTTGTTGTTTGGATTTCAACAGGTGTGTGTGTGTGTGCGTGTGTGTTTCTGTTTGTTTCTCTTAAGGCTGGTTGCTTCCTTTGCTTGTTTTGGTGTTACTGTTGTCGGGGCAGAGTTGTGTGTGTGTGTGTGTCTCTGTGTGTGTGTGTGTGCGCGTGCATATGCATGTTTGTCGCCACTGCTCTTTGTTTTGTTTGGCATTGCTGTTGTTGATTCAGTGTTGGCTTTTGTCTTCTTCCTGTTCTTCCCGCTGTCCTTCCTTCTTTCGTTCTTTAATTATTTCCTTGTTTCCTTCCTTCCTTCCTTCCTTCCTTCCTTCCTTCCTTCCTTCCTTCCTTCCTTCCTTCCTTCCTTCCTTCCTTCCTTTCCCCGTATTTTCTTGTTGGTTCCCTTCTTTTTCGTTCCTCTTATGTATCTTTGTTTGTCGTGTTTGTCTAATTTGTGCTGTTCGTTCCTCTGTTCTTTCCTTCTTTCCTTACTTCTTTTTTGTTCTTCTTGTTTGTTCCTTGCTTTTTTATCCTATTGTTTGTTTCTTCCTTTTTGAGTTTCGTTTGTCATTTATTTTTAAATCAAATGTGTGCTTTTGTTTCCGTACTCTGTGTGATCGGCTCCAAACATTGCGCTCCCTTCATTTCCCTTTGTTCAGGTGCAGGAGCTGATCCGCGTGCGCCCACCCCGCCAGCCGCAGGCACGGTTCGGGCGCGGTTCGTCCGCAGCTCGCTCCGCCGCGTTTCGGTCCGCGGTTCGGTGGTGAAGCTGTTCGCTTTGGTTTTCTTACACGCTTGAAATGGGAGTTTGTAGGTTATTCATGTTGGTTTGAAAGGGAATCTAGCACTACTTTGTTTTGTTTTGTGCCACTTGAAACGATATAAATATGTGTCATAGATCCTGGATTGTTTTTTGAAAGGGAATCTATCACTACTGCGTTTTGTTTTGCCATTCGCTTTGAAATATGTGTGATAGAACCGTTGTTGTTTTTCCAGGTGGCGACACTCCAAGTAACTTTTGCTGATGGGTTTAGGGAAATATCTGTGAAGAATAGTATTTCTTTCTTTTTGCGAGGAAGCGGGGGAGTTTTGGGAGAAACCCCATATTTGTGTGGCAATCTCATAATTGGGACAAAGCTGTTTGTCCCTTTGGTTTCGCTTATTACTTAAGTAGCTGTGTTGGAATTGTTCTGTAGCCATTCTTTGTGGCTTGCTTGAGGATATTTGTTGTTTTCCCTTTTCTCTGGAGTCGTCCGTTTGTGGCACCAAATGAAAGCTGTAGGGAGGCCACGTTGGCAAGCATCACCAAGGGAATAATTCGCAGACTCGCCGATTGGGGTGTTTACAGGTCAGTAGAATTGGAGCCCTGTCATTTATCTCTGGCCAAATCTACCTAAAGGATGGTTCGAATCGGCCTTTGACTTCCGAGCCGAATCACCTTGCAATCCTGGGGCCGTTCAGGTGGAGCCCCCAAAGTGGGCTTCGGTGTTCCTTTTGGTTTGCCTGTAAACCAACCCTGAAAAGACGTACGTACCGGAAGACATACACAGACACAGAGCACATCATCGATTTCCTTTAGCGTGATGCTGTTTCTCTTAACTCAGCAAAAAACATGTGACATGTTGGGCTAGTTGAAGCCTGACGACCAGCTAGAATTTGTTAAGTTGGGTGAGTAGATTCTTTCTGGTGCTTGCGGTTGTTCTATTTTCGTTTGGGGAGCTGTATATCCCTTGCGTAGTTGTTGCCGTTTCCCTTAGCTTTGTCTAAGGGTGGAAGTACCCGTTGTTCATACCCCTTGGCTTCCCCGGTTTCCAACCCGCTTTATGAGGTACATACACCCCAAAATGGGGAGAGGGGTATGTACAAGCACCCCATTTAGGAGTTGCATTCCCGTTGGGACGTCCTTTTCATGTCTCGGTTTGCCGCCAAGTTCTCGACAGGAGGAGTTCTTCAATGGCCCTGGCCCCGAGCTGGGCGGGTCGGAGGGTCACGGCTCGCGGGTTGGACGTGCAACTGTTTGCCAGGTCCCTCAGCAATTGGTGCCCGACCTCTCACCCATTTCTTTTTTGGTTGGGAGGGAAAGCCCCTACTAAAATAGACTACAGAAAAAAGTTGGTACCCTTATTCTAACCTTTCTACTGGAGGACCTAGTTCGGCTCCGGGGATGTCCATTTATCCCGTTATTTTTTAACTTTCAGCGGGGGATTTGAGGACAGCCTAGTCTTGTTGGCTTCAGCAGATCATCTTAGCAAACAACTGGCCCAGCCTCTCAGGAATCGAGGTGATGATGAAGAGGAAGACAGAAACAAGGTATTGCAAGGGCGAGCATGAGTAAATTCCACCGAGTATGCGGGCCCCGGGTGCCTGAAAAACACACAAGAATGTTCTTCTCACATAAAGTATGTAGCCATATTCAGCCCTTTTCGGAACCCGAACACCCCATCCAAAGGCATTCACTCGCCACCCACGGCTTCAGCCTCGCCTTGTCGCGACCGAATGCCCGAGGTCACGGGGAAGGGGGCCTCGTGAAGGCGGAGATCCGCACGGGGCACGCCATTTGCCAATCCCTGGAGAAGGCGAGAGAACTTCTTCTCATCCGCGGGGGGCAGCCTAGAGAGTTCTCGAGAGAGAGGTGTCCCCTTAAACCTTAAGCCAAAAAGATAGCCGCAACAGACTCTGTGTGAGGGGACAAGTGCTCCCTTGCAAATGAACGGAAGGAACCCACAAAACGGATCCATGTTTTTCCAAAGCAGAGTTTCCTCTCGGCCGAGCTGGTGACCCTTCTTCCAACTTTGGAACCAATCGTCAGCCGTGGGCCGGGGGCCTTCCCAGGGCTGCGATCTTGTGCCAGCTTCCATTGTTGGAAAGGGGGTAACCCGGGATTGCCGGGTTTCCCATCTGCACTGCGGGTCTGAATATTACCTCTTGGTTACCCATTTGAATTGAGCTGTCCATTGATGGGTGATGTGTAGAGGGACTATATACGGGCACCTGGTTGCGTCGGGGCTAACCCAAGAAGGCTTGGGAGACACATGAAAAGGGGGTGGGCTTTCTGAAAGGTTGTTGTTTAGGAATTGAAAATTGCACTCCAAGCAAGTGGGAAACGAACATGAAAACGTGGCGAGTTGGTGCCTGTAGGACATCCTTTTTGGGGCCAACACAAGCTCAGACAATGGGCTCGCAGATCAAAAACATTTGCAGCAGTAAAGGAGTGACATTGGGCTTTGGGAACCAATTCGTAACCCAAGTGCCAATAGGTACCATACGCAACCAAGAAAACACACATTCAAAACTGAAAGCAAGGATCTATGTTGTTTATTTTTGGCTTGCGGGACCTTGGAACCACATGGGTATGTGTCGAGAAGGCGACCGCAGACTTGCTTTTGGAACCAAGTAGTTGCCCCGTGGTGCCTTTTTTTTAAAACTTTCTTTTGGGAAGGGTTCCCCTTTAAAGTCAACCAACCAAAAACAAGATGCCAATCCTTTTTTTGCCACTGGGTATCTGAGGGTAAAACCCAGCACCCACGGGCATCCCAGGACAAGCTCCAGGCAATCCAGCAATTCTGCGGCGCCCGGCTGACGCAGCAGGGCGAGGAGACTGTGCCCCTGGGATCAGGTTCAGCTGCTTTGGCCTGGCGGGTGGCCTTCCGTTTTTTTCAACCGGAAATTGGAAGCTCTAGGGGTACCTTCCATTCCATTCTTTCCAGGGATCCGCATCTTCTCAGGAAACCATCAAAAACCCAGCAGAAACAGATCCGTTTTTGAAAAGGACGATGGTTGAAAGGAATGGGGAATCAACCCCTAGAGAAGCCCATCATACACAGAAGCCACCCTACCGCCTTTTTCCCTTTGAACGCTTTCTTGGGGGTGTTTCTGTTTCCTTCAACTGAAAGCTTCTGGGTCTTTGCCCAGATAGGCTTCGTGGCTCTGGGTTTGGATTCCGGAAGGGTTTCGGGGTTGGGAGTTGCTGTTCGCCTTGCTTTGAAGGGCGTCCAAAGGGAAGAACACGCATCTTGGAGGGCTTTGAGTTTGGTACATTCCCGATTTTTGTTGTGGCGTGAACAGGGTTAGGTTTGAGGCGCTTGTTGATTGTCGTGATTGTCGTCTTGTTTTCCACTGTTGGTTTTAAGAGGGAAATTGGCAATGCCGTGTTTTGGTGTGATCCCACAAGGGGTTGTTTGGTTTGCGACCTCGGGCCCTCAGCCGAAGCTTCTTTCGTGGCTAGCATGGCTTGGTGATACAATCTTCGATTTGAACCCCCTGATTCTTCTCGACAAATGGGCCACCCGGAAACTTCCAATACAGACAAACCGACTAAGGAACCCCTGTTTCTGTGTGTTTTTTTTGGCATGTGAGTCAAAATCAAAACCCGGTATAAACATGGTTGACCCAGAGCCATGTATATAAGGAAATACAAAGGCTGCCGCAGCTATTTCTGGCTGGGACAGTCCCTTTCTAACCTTCATCTACCCGGGTTTTGGTTGTGGCTTATGTGTTACAGCAGGTTGTCGAGGTCTCAAAAAAAAAGAAGTTCAAAGGACTAATTAGTTTTTAGGGTAGTACTACGAAAAATAATTGGCATGGAACCCACAACGCAGGTCCCCAGAAGGAGATTCCGTTCCAACTGTATGGCATCCTTATGTTTTGGGGCACCTCTTTCCATATTCCCCAGGCTTTGACATCGCCTTGCCGATCGTTGCGAGTTTCAAAAGAGTCCAGGAAATGAGGTTCCGTTTGGAGCGAGGTCTTGAAAAACCATCATCTGTTGGTTTCCCCCCTTGGGGGGAAGTCATTTTGGAGCGGACATGGCAGGCAAAAAGTCAGGACTTGTTCATGGCTGGTCAGGAAGAAGCCCCTGTTCCTGAGCTATGTTGATGTCCGAAAAGGTGATCGACGTGTTCTGCTCCTGGTGAAGACACGCTCAGTTTGGGGACACTCTCCAGGTCCCCCCTTTTACCCTTTTTTTGGGGAGGGTTCCCCTACCTGGATCTCCTGGAAGTTAAGAATTCCTACTCCAAAATTGAAAAAGTTCTTTTTGGCCTGAGGACACGGGTATTTCCACTTTCGAACGGGTATTTCTACTCTTGAACGGATATTTTCACTACCATCGAAGTGTTCATAAATCAGCACTGCACATAAATTATCAAAGGCTTATTGCGTAATGTTGGCGTATTTTTTACGTACCTCCGAACGGGTCCGAACGGGTCCGAACGGGTCCGAACGGATGCCTGAGCAGTCGGAACTACCCGAACGGGCATTTTAACACGGAGTGAAAATTATCACTCCAGCATGGAAGAAAGTACTTTTTTCTTTTTGGAGTGGGAATTATCAACTTTCAAGAGATGCAGGTACTAAAATAGACTGCAGACAAAAGAAAGGGTACCAACTTATTCTAACCTCTCTACTCGACCTAGGCCTACGAAGCCCCCCCCGTCCCCGTCCCAAGCGGCATCGGCGAGGCTGATCCAGGGCCACCAGGAGCAAGTGAACCTGGCCCCTCGGCCGAATCCATCGGGTCGAGTCGGTCGTTCGGATGCGCCGCAAGAAGCGCCAAGCGGACGCTTTGGAGCCTCCCCGGGCCGGCTGAATTTTTTGCGTTTCGCGGGTTTGTTGCCGGGTCCAGACGTCAAGAGGCTTGGTGCCAGGCAGAAACTCTTTGAGTCGAATTGTTGACATGGGGCAAGACGTATCGCTTTCAGGAACCGACCTTGTGAAGGAGGGTCATGTTTGGAAAAGCGAGGGGCGAAAGTGATGGGAGACCCTAAACGGTCCTGTCAAAAGCGACGTACGCCTTTTAAGTTGAACCAATGTTGGGCCGAGTTATTACCCGCTAGCACCGTTCAACAATGATAATGTGACAGGAGTCTATGGTCGATTTGTTACTTACGCCAAGTGATGAACTCCTGGTTGATATACAATAGTATGGGCATCATGTAACTAATGAAGGGGTCTACACGCCTTCAGTGGCCACTTTGTCATGATTGTTTGAGGCGGGCTAAGTTGCTAAGCTTCTAGCTGTTTGTGTGCAACTAGAGGTCATCACACCGTTTGAGTGTCTCTCTCCTGACTTAGGAGACTTCACGAAGGTATGGAGGGTGGGCTAAAATGTGGGGCTCCAAACGGGAGTTTTACAGGGCTCCTCCAGAAATCTGCTTGTCCAAGACCTTCTGTTTCTTGGTAGTCTCAGGCATGTGGATTTGCTTTATTTGTTTGATAATAGCCCACCCCCCCACCCCCAAACACACACACACACACCACACACTACTCACCAACACAGCAACCACACACAGACTACACCACCCACAGACACACACGCACACACACACCCGCGCGCATCGGGAATCACACCTATGCAGAGTGGTATGAAGGGCTGAATGATTACTGGCAGGCCAAGAAGCGGTTGCAGGAGTACATCTTCGGGCTCAAAGTGGATGAGGCCGGCATGTTGGCTACTTGCAGTTTGTTTGAGCCCCCGCTATCTAGTGGGTTGTTTTGCCTACAGTTTGTTGGCCTATTGTTTGCCTACTGTTTGTTTGAGCATAGTAGTACAATGTGTTTTGTGTTTCCTGCTTGTTCCAAGGCAGCTTGCGACGAACTTTGAGCTGTTGGTCGGCAAGTGGTTCTGTTTGAGTCAGTTTGCACTTTGGTCGTTTCAATCAAGAGCCCCACAGTTCAAACTTTGGCAGTCGTGTCTTTATTTGAGAGAATGCCCATTAGCAGCTGAAAGCTATGGGGTCTTAGATAGGCTTTGGGGTGGTTTGCGGCAGCTTTTAGGGAGGGGTCAAAAGGAGGGTTCCAGAGCTGTCCGGACACTACCTGGGCTTATTTGCTAGCCGGATCGTCAACTCAGCAGCTTAGGCAGACCAGGTATGATATGTCATGTTGAAGGGGAAGCCATTGCGTGCAAATCGACGCATTTGACAGTTGGCCCTGTTACCAGAAGGCGAACAAATCTTCGGAGTTATAAGCTCACTGGAGAAGCAAACCTCAATACTTTGAATAACAGTAGCTGCATTAGAGGAATAGAGGTGCGGATTTTGGCATTGTGTTCATTCAGTGGATCAACAAAGTCCACGTCGCGCCAGTTGGTAGGGGGTCTATCCCAATGTTTGTTGGGCTCTCTCCATCACAACTGCCGCGAAATGGATTTTGGTCATTCACAGTAGCATTTAGTGATTATTGCACAGAACTGCCAGTGTTCCTGTGGGATGGTGCCAACATGTGCCAACATCTCCGCTCCAGGCTTAACGACTCACCTACACAATTCGTGAAGCCCCAAAACCGCTCCAGGCAAGTCTCGGAGAAAACCGCCGAGCGCGGGCAGGCTGCCACGATCAGCCATGGCAAGCAACCCCAAGCTACCAGTTGGCTTTGCAGCTTCCAACACAAACCCAAACCCGCCCCTCAAAGGGAAGCCACCTTCACCTGCAACCTGCAACCTTCAGGGCTTCAAAACAGCTTGAGGTCCAGGAAACCGGTTTAAAGGAAAGCAGGTCTTCAACACCTCATCTAGTCCAGGGACTTGAGCTTTTTTCAGGACCCCTTTTTATGAGAGGCCACAAGGCGTGTTCCGTGTGTCCCTTAGCTATGTTGCCAGGTGCGGATCCTATTTCCGTTTCGGGCTTGGGTCCCTTTTCCGTATGGGAAGCCTCAGGTAACTGTGCGTTGGTTTGGATTGAATTGATGGTTTGAACTAGGTCCCCCAGTAGTGCCCTTTTACCCTTTTTTGGTTGGGAGGATTCCCCTACTAAAATAGACTACAGAAGAAAGTTGGTACCCTTATTCTAACCTCTCTACTGGAGGACCTAGTTTGGAATTTCTGCGGTAGAGGAACCTCCCTCCGCAAAACCGCCAAACCCGCCGAACCACCCCAGGGAAATGGCGCGGGTTCTTTGCGTCCGCCGCAGGAGTTCACCACGCCGAGCGGGGTGCCCTTCCACGTCTTCATCGCCAAGGCGGCGGATGGCACGCCCTCGGTGCTCGAGGAGGCGCTTCGGCGGGGCGGGGGAGGGCGGAGGGAGGCCGGACCGGTTCAGTCGGGGAGGCGGGGCTTTTGCTTTTTTTTGTTTCCAACCGCGGAGGGTAGGGAAACTCCGGTAGGGTTGGGTTTCTACCCTGGAAGTCCGGAGGTTTCGTTGGTCAGGGGGAAAGGGTGTCCTGGGCTGGGATGTTCAAATTCAATGCTTGGTGCTTTATGCCAGAGGGTCGTGGCTTCCCTTATTGTAGGCTGGAGTGACATAGACTTTTAGCTTCCTCCGCCTCAGTGGATGTGATGTGTGGACTCCGTCCGAATCGTGCACAGAAGTACGGCGCAATGTCGGAAGAGCCTCTCCACTGGAGGACCTAGATCACCTTCCATCGTCCGAACCTTTTTCGGGGTCGACAAGCTCGGACCTCCAAGAGGAAGCCACTGGTACACCATCTTAATAGGGGAACACCTGTGGTCACCCCTCCAGGTGGCTCCTGTTGTTTTCCCTTCAGCGTTTTAAAGCTATTCAACACCATCTTAACAGAGTCTGTTTTCCCGTTAACGCCTTTCAAAAAGAGCTCCGATTCCAATTTTGAGAAACCCTCCATATTTTTGATTGTTGGTCTTCAAAGGACATCCAACCGAACCAACCGCCCCTCGCTGCATGCCATGCCAGGTACGAAACCGAACACGAGTCCGCGTACAGGCCGGGTAGAGTTCGATCCTATAGGGTGGCTCGTCTTTTTGTGTGTATATGCCACCTTTTGGTTGGTGTTAAAGGGAAGCCAAAAGGAAATCAACCCATTTGGGGGGGGTGACCTAACAAGGACCCCGACTCTTGGCTGCTGTTGGGTTGGACTTGTTTATTGTTGAACTCGTTGGCTCAATTGATTCATTCCCCACGCCCCGGCACCCTGAAATTCAGAAAGCGGCCGCCTTTGCCGCTGGCCATGTGTCGGTTCCGGAAGCACTCCCGTTCTTTGGTTGGGCCCATCCTGTGCGCTCCGGCCAACCACAGGTTGGGATGGGTTGTGGACCCTTGGAATGTCAGACCACTTTGTCAGGATTCCCATGGGTGTTCCTCCCAATTCAAGCAAAAAATGGGGTAATTGAGCACTGGCCTTGACGGCAAACTGGAGGTTGGTAGGGATGATTGTGGACCCTTGGAATGTTCGCCAGAGTACGATTCAAATAAAAAATCGGGCAGACATTCAGCGGAATCAGGAAGTCAAAATCCCGTACACCAGTGAACACCCCAATCCCCACTAAAATAGGTTCTAAAATGGGTGGTGAATTCACCTACCCCAACATGGGATCCCATTGGTTTTGACCCACAGCCAGTTCCTGGATCCAGGTGAAGCAGGCAGAGCACAAGATCATCCTCTCGGGCATTTTCTCAGCGCTGGCCTCAGCTCTCAAGTGACCCTTGTGTGCAAATTGGTCGGCCATGGATGGAGGGCCTTAGACTCACTTCCCGAGTTCCAGCACTTTAAGCTTGTTGGGAAGACAATTTTTCAGTTGTAAATAGGAACAAAAGGACATTTGTTTTGCCAATCCACTCTTCTAGGGCAACCGAGGGGAACGTACAGTACGGCCCAGAGATGCTCAAAGGGGGCACATAGGCAATCCTCTTGAAAAAAACAGAGGAACGGCACCCTCCCGGCGGGACTGGGAGGCTTGGTTTGCCCTTTTCACCCCGCACCAAAGGCCTTGTCTGAGGGAGGTGGGGTTGGTGTTTGGTTCATCCAGCCCTTTCGAACCTGTTAGTCTTCCCAGCCAGCAAAAGATGCCAAACTTCTTGACAGCTTCACGACCCCTGCGACCAAAGGTGCGGAACGCCCGGAGTCGCGTTCCTCGCGTTCCTCGCATAGGTGTTCTTTTTGGTTGTTTTGCTCGAAAAATAGATGGCGATTCCTGGCTTACCTGGTGGTTTCATCATCTACCAGGGATATCCATCTATTTCCTTTAACAGCACACCCATGGAGTTCCTCGCGTTGCTTCGGTTCGCAAACCGGTTCGACCACCCCCGCGGTTACCCCCGCGGCCCCGGCCGCGCTTGCGCGGCCGCGCTCGGAGAGCCGGGGCCGTCGGAGAGAACGAGCCGGCAGGTGGTGTCCAACGCGCGCCGGGACCTGCAGGCCTTCCTGAGCTCCTTCGTGACCCACGAGGCGCGGTTTGCGGGCTGCTGGTGGAAGAATTGCAAGCATGGCATGCTGTAAAGAACCAAAGACAAATATCCTTAAGGTAGCTGCCACCCAAACTATCCTCAAGGGAAATTGCCAGCCCCAGTTTTGCTCTATCAAATGTCCTCCTCCCTCTCAGCTCCACCCCTCCCTCTCCCGCCCTCCCCTCCCCGAGACCCCGCGCTCCTCGCTTCTCAGTGGCTCCTGCGAGATTCTGCGTCAGATTTCGCCCACCCTATACAAAATGTTTGAGGAGACCCGGTCTAATTGGGCGGGAAGCCGAACAGCTGAGAGCTAAGAGGTCTCAGAGAAGTTTTGTTGGTGCGTTCTCGGTCGCTCGCCTCGGTCATGAGGTGCAGCTGCAGAAGGAGCAGCTGGAGAAGGTCTCGACGCTGGGGAAGCAGCGCTTCCCCAAGCTGCCGGGGGCCCCACGCGCGTCCCGGGTGATGTTGCGCCACGCGCGCCACGCGTGTTGCGCTTTTTCTTTCGGGGTGGAGTGGAAGCCGGGAGGCTCAAAGAAGAGGAGAGTCCATGGCCGACGGGTTTGCTTTAAGAGGGGAGCCTGAACTGATTCCTGCCAGCGGTTCTCAGAGGATCCCAATCGCTTCATGCCCGAGGCCCTCGAGATTTCCGAGACATCCAAGCAAAATTATCCAGGCTTCGGTGTATCTGTGCCCCTAGGTCCCCCAGTAGTGCCCTTTTACCAGAAAAAGAAGGTACCCTTGTTCTTTCACCTCTCTACTGGAGGACCTAGGCTCACGGTTCCTGAACGAATCCTGAGAATCCAAGGCTTCCTCTTGCTGGTCCTTAGGCAATGAGCTGCTCCCGAAACTGAACCATCCAACCGGTGGGCACTCGGTAGGGACCCCAAAAACCCATCCGGTGATTCCCGACGAAACCAGCAAGCCCCGAGGAACCTTCCGTCTACTTACCCGCAGACAAACCCATTTCAGAACGTTGGGCGAACTAGCTTTCCTAGGTCCCCCAGTGCCCTTCTCTCCCTTTATTTGGTTGGGAGATTCGGTTCCCCTACTGAAATCGACTACAGAAAAAAGTTGGTACCCTTATTCTTTCACCTCTGTACTGGAGGACCTAGTTTCTTATCCCCGGTACCATGTTGACTACAAACCCAACATGGTTTCCCTTTGGCTTCCCTTGGAAACCAACCCCGAGAAGCGCACCCTCAAATCAACCCAGCACTTTTCGCATTGGGAGTTCCAGCATTCTCACGCCAAAGAGCAAATGGTAAAGCTTTTCGCGCAGGGGCAACCCCTTCATATAGTCATAGGCATCCGGTTTCCCTGCAGATGCCAGCAGATGCCGATCGGTATTTCACACCCTGGGGGATAGAAGAAGTGTAGCAAGCTTGCGCCGTGTTGGGCAGCGGATTTCTGAGGAACAACTTCCGACACCTGGTCCAGGCACAGATCAACAAGGCCGGCTTGGGCAAGTCAATGCACCCTCAGGCTAAGGAAGATCCCAGGACCCTCTGGAAAAAAGGATATGTGCTTCAGTGGCTTGTATTGCTCTTGGCTCCCCAGGAATATGGGAATGTTCAATGCATATGGTGTTTTTTTTCTTCCCTGGATCGGTTGTCCCAGTGTCTCCATTTCTGAAGGTGAGCTGCAACTAGTTTGGTTCCCGCATGAAACTTGACCCCAAGTTAAAAGACCAGGATGTGTGTCACTGTATTGGCCCCAAGGCCCCAACTGGCCGGGGGGTTCAAATTTGGGAAGCAGAGGATCTGGCCCAGTCCTGGCCCTGGCCAATTCCGTTGAGGCATCTCTATTTGATGGTACCCCCCTCTTCTTTGGGTTTGGAAACAAAAGGAAACCACGCATTCTTGAGGTTGCCACGACTACACTTTTTTCCAGGAGCGGTTCCAGTATCGTGGTACCGGCCTTGAGTCTACTTTGGAAACTGGCAGGATGAAACGCAATAGACGACAGACTAAGAGCCCAACGTGCAAGGCTCAAATGGCTGTGGGTCAAAAATGGTAGCATTTTGGGTTAGGTGCACCACCTTAGTGGGGATTTCGACCCATGGCCAAATGATCAAAGCCCCGAAGCCCAAGCCACTTAGGGCGCAACCACTCAGCACTAAGGGGACCGGTCCCGCTGCTCAGCTAGGTATCACCCGTCGTTGGATCATTTGGTGCCTGTGTTGAGAATATGTTGGGGGCGTGTACTTGGAAATCTAACGGGAACTTGTAGATTGTGGCCCGCCACCTCCCTATATTTGAAGGGTCCCACTTCAATATGAAACAATCTCGGCCCCGTCATTTTTTGGAAGCACGCGGCTTATCATTCTCATGGCTGAACGCAAGCTGGAAGTTGCTTCGCCAGGTAAGCCCAAAGTAACCCCGCCAGGGAAATCATATTTTTGGCAAGTGGCATGCTGTCTTTGCGTTGGAGCAACACTGATTCTTGACTTGAATCTTGGGTTCGAGTTTGTTTCCTGGCATTGCGGGCGCAATCACGGCCCAATCAGGGACCAGGCGCAATCAAGGCGCAACAGCAGCAAATCGACGGTGCTTTGGAGACGAAGCCCTGTGTTTTGCTGGGGCGGAGCATCGCATGTAAGAATATCACGATAAAGTCGCCGCGGGAGTTTGGGAGTTTGGGAGTTTGGGATTGGCTGGGTAAGCTATATAATGTCAACGCGTACCAATTATACATTAGCAGACGTTAGTGGAAGTAACCATGCAGTGAGTCAGAACCAACAAAATATAGTGCAACCAGCTCGTTGAATTTGAACTCTGCCTTTCCAGGAGCAGCTCAAGCTGACGCTTTCTGGTGGCACTGAAGCCATCAAAGAGGCAAGTTTGTTTGTCGCCTTGGTGTCAAGCAGGAAGCATGTTGCAGCCTCCCAGGAAGGTGTATCCCCTTTTAGGAAGGCTTTCAAGGAAAACCAAAGAAACTTCATGTGTTCGTTGTTTTGTTATTATTGTTTTAGTATTATTATTTTTTTGGGGGGGGCCAAGTAGTGTTTTTTCCGCTTTTGGCCTTCCACTTGGGCCAGGTATCCTCAAAACGAGCCATCCAATTCAAGGACTGCATTTCAGGTATTGGAACTCCCGCGTTGTTTCCGATCGACGCGCTTGGTCTTCATACCTCCGAGAGAATCAACTACCACTTTGAAGGCGGACCCTCCAACTGGTCCAAGAAGGTGTTGGGTATGGGGGGCGTTTGGTGTTTTGGGGTCACCTAGTTTGAGACACACCCAGACTCACAGTCCAAGCATCGATCAAGGTTCAAGCTTGAGGATTTCGCCTTTAACTCACTTCCTGAGTTCCCGGACTTACCTTTTGGAAAGACCTTTTTAGTGGCAAACATAATGTTCAGACATGTGTTGGCCAATGCACTCAGGAAGTGAGTCGGAGGGTGATTTCGCATCATCTGATTTTTTGGACCGCCCAGCCTATTTGATGAGTTCCCCTTTGAGCAGGATGATGGTTGAAGGAAACGTTTGAGAAAACACCTGATAGAGGCTTTGCCTTTGTTTGTCCTCACTCCAAAGCGCAACAGCTTGATCTGAGACCGTTGCTAGCGGGCACGTGTCAAAATGAGAGTTTGGACATTCAAATGGGTTTCAGGATGTCTCAGGTTTGCTTTTGCCTTTTTACCCAAACCTTAAAAGGGTAGCCTTCGGAAAAGGCCAACAGATCTCTGGATTCTGCTTGCCTCCCATTGCCAGGCGCGGGAGGCCCTGGATGATCTCTTCACCAAGGAGGGCTGGACTTTGCCTCCGTCGGAGATGCCGCTTGCCTCGGTCGCCGAGTCGTTTCGGTCGCCCCACTTTCGGGAGCGAGGTGTTGGATTGCTGGGCCCCAGTTTGGTATCGAAAGGGAAACCAAACCAAAAAGTCGAACCAATAGGAAACCCCAAAAACCCATTGGTCGCATGTTGACCAAACCAACCATCGGGGGCTAGTTTGAGAAACCAGTTTGCAGTGCGCACGCCTTCGATCCCTTGGGAGTTCAAGCAGATTTCCAGAGGTTTACCCATTTATCTTTGTTCGGGGGAGAATTCCAATTAGACTTGGGTGCAAGTAGACGTGATAAGTATTTATATAGGTTTGCGACTGCTTGGGAGGTTTAAACAGACTTCCACCGGACGAGAATCTTCGTTTTTGGGGCCAAGTAGATGTTCCCTTCTTTGGGGTCGCTGAAGCATCCTTTGGTTGCCACTATCTATCCAGGAGGGCTTAACGAACACTAGGCGAACACACTCTCATGTTCAGATGAATACTAACAACATGTCTGGCAGTCTACTGTTGCTTTGGGGAGGACAGGGGGGCCACCCAAGTGGGATTGTCTTTTGTTAAGTTTTTTTGCTAGTAATGTGCGCACACACACACAGCGCAGCCCTTAGGGATGCCAAAAAAGACCAATACCTGCCGTGTTTCTTAACATGGTAGCGGAGCTGTCCTGGTGGATTGGGACCCATGGAGGACCCTTTGGTGGTTGCCTTTCGCACCGCTAGGGGCGGCAGCCCATTTGGCTGCCGAGGTGCGCCGTAGGCAGACTTCAGGCCTAGCGCCCAAGCCTGAGGAGGACAGAAGGCTGTGGGCAGATTGGAGGTCTGCTGCCACCTAGTTCTTAGCCTCCAAAGATGCCGATGGATGCGCTCAATGGCGACAGGCAAGCCAGATCAAGGCAGCTGTTCACTTACTCGTCAGTACTGAAGCCATCTGAAGCTTGATCCAAACGTGATGAGACATTGGGAGAAGAAGATGGAAAACACGCCCTGTAATATTCATTGAAAGGCTCAGAGTCATTATGGGTCACTGATGGTCCTTGCTAGATTTTTACGGGCCCCCGTGATCTGCCTCCAAAACAAAAGTGCTTCTTGCATCTTCTTGCCCACGTTACCGCGTGGCCCAGTGTAAGGCTGGCTTTCTCGGAAGGAAACGTGTACTGGTCATCAGCGCTGAAGCCATCTGAAGCTTCATCCATGCTTGAGTGAAAGCCGTATCAGAGGAAACATGGCCAGGAAGGAGATGGTGTCCCGTACCTGCTACACATGGCCATTAAGGGGTCACGGTTGCTGCTCGTTTTTCATGCAGCCCGTTGACATGTCTCTGAATCACAGCAGGAGTGCTCTTGTTGCCCATGTTGCCGTGTGCGGCCCAGCACAGAGCTGGCTTTCTCGAAAAGAGACGTCCACCTGGCCATTCAAAGTGTGCGGTGTTCTCGGCTGGTCTGGCGCCGAGACATGGGAAGTAGACGTTACACATGCCCGTACCTGCCACATATCACTGTTGCTACTGGCCGCTGCTCGTTTTTTCATGCGTCTCCTTGATGTGGCTCTAAACAACAGGAGTGCTTCTTGCATCTTGTTGCCGATGTTGCCGTGCGCGGCCCAGCAAGGAGCTGGCTTTCTCGAAAGGAGACGTCGCATTTTTCTTGGCTGGCTAAGCTTGATTTAGACTCCCAGCCATCCCAGGTGTGCGTTTTCTTTGTCCATCTTGCAGATCTCACCAACTCATTTTTCTGGGCTAAATCTCTTGCTAAGTGGTGACACTGGCGTTGGCCATGGCACCATGCGGGCTTTGAGTTTTTTCTGTAAAGCGCCTTTAGTAATGCGTGCGCGCACCGCAGCGTTTTGAAGGAGTCCAACCAGGAAAACTACTGTTTTCTTTTGGAAGGGGGTCCACCCGATCTTGATATTTACCCAAATATTTCACGGAAGCCTTTGGCCACCGTAGCGGAACCGATGTGTTTTTGTTTCGTTGTCCCGCTCGCATTGAGTTCAATGAAGGCGCATCCGTGCTATTGGGGTGCCGTCACTTCCTTTTGCTTAAGAATATGTGTTATTTCGCCTAATCTATCACTGTTGAAAAATGTTTTGTTTTGCAGGGGCTTAAGCAAACGGACGACTACGTGTTCTATATATGGCTGTGAGGCAAAGCACGGGTGTATTCGGCTATGAGGGGTAGGTACACTTTTCGTTCACTACCCATAAGTGTGTTTCACCGAAAACACGCATCAGAGTTTGGTGGAGACATCCGCGCTGGAGGTTTGCATCCAAGCACAGCATGTCCCGCGGCAGACACGACGGCGAAGGCGGGTAGGAGGGTTTTTTGGGCAAATAGCGTCAAACGTCCGGGTGAGCGGGAGCAAACCAGCTTCTCCAGCGGTTACCTAGAAAAACCACTTTTTGAACACTAACAGGTAACAGCGGTAATGGGATCCGTGTCTGGTTGTCCATGCAAGAAGGCTTCAGAGCCCCACGTTTGCAGGATTTCGTGGAAGTTGATCCTTCTTTTTTCCTGGCCCCCAAATGACCATGGGTGTTTTCCCCTTTTAAGTGGTTGAAAACTTGTTTTTTTTTCATTTTCGGTGGCGTCCAACCTCTGGCCATGTTTACTGGACCATTTTACCAACCCCCCGCTGGTCTTATCACTCACCAGCCATCACATGTTTCCCAGGCCTTGGGAAAAATCCCCCCGCCCTTGTGGCGCCAGGGGAGCGGCCCAGCCGGAACCGCCACACGGCGGAGATCCTTCAGCTCACGGCTTTCTGGCGCAACGGGGCGGGCGGGGTGGCGAAACGAACGTCCCCTTTTTTTGGAAGCCAAGAAGGGGGGGTGGGGATTCACATTGCCAGTTGAAGGGGGGGATTCGCTGCCACTTGAAGGTTCGCTGCCACTTGAAGGGTTGAAGGGGGGGGGAATCATTGCCAGTCACTTGAAGGAGGGGTGGGAGGGGATTCACTGCAACTTGAAGGGTTGAAGGGGCTTCATGTGTGTCAGTGGATGGGGGGATTTATTATTGCCACTTGAAGGGGGGGGTTTTATGTGTTGTCAGTGTTGAAGGATGAGTTCCTTGGGTTTGGTCACAGATGGTAGTGACTCGTGGGTTCCAGCCATGAGGGTTTCCCGATGAAGTGAAATGCTGGGGAAGCTCGTGAATTGGGAGGCCTGGTCTCAATGGTTTCGTGCACAAAAATGGCTGACAAAGTGTTTGGATGGTTTAGGGGAAAACACACAAGGCCTGGATAGGGTCCCGATTTTGTTGAGAAACACCCACATTGGCCGCTTGAACCCTTTTGGTGGTTCCTCTTCACAGCATGTCAAACAGAGGCTACCTGGTCCCTCACGACCTTGTCAGTCACACTGCTGAGTCCAAGCGATGCCCAGCCCTAGGCCCTCTCGGTTCGAACGGGGCCACCTTGCAGTTGGTTCTCACCTCCCCTTTCACAGAACCACCCGAACCCCTCTGGTCTTCTCCCTCTTCTTGAACCACCCCGACACATCAGAGGCGCGCAGTCGCGCGCCCGCGCCAACGGGCGCGCTTTCGGCGGCCTCGTTTGGTTGGGCCCCTGGGGGCTCCCAACGGATCCCGGCGGATGCGGCCGGGATTTCGATCGGCGAGTTGGGTCTGAGGACATGGACTCGGCCTTCATCCTGGGCCGCGGGGGGAAGACCAAGCACAAGATCGCCCGCGTCTCGGGGGCCACGCTGGAGCTCCATGAGCACAACTGCCGGGAGCCCCGGAGGGTGCGTGGGAAGAGGGGAAACCAACGAAGAGGACCAGAAGGGGAGGCAAGAAAAGGTGAGCTATAAATTGTGTATTTTGTTTTATCGTTTTTTTAGGGGGGAATCAACAGGAAACCGGCCTTGAAAGAGGGGAGCCCTGTTTTAGGAGACATATTTGCAGGGCCTGCAGCGGCAAAACGGGGCAAACAGCAGCTGACGGGACCAATAAGGGACGATGGTCACAGGTTGTTTCATTCCAACCGTTGGGCGGATTCATACCTAATAGCCATAGGTGTCCTTTTTAGGTGAGCCTGGTTAGAAATGGATGGCACTGGTTTAGATGGCTTTTGTTTCATTTACCAGGGCCATCTATTTTTCCAAAAGGCCACCCACGCTAATAACGCTTTTGAAGCTTTCTCGAACTGGTTGCAAGCCAAGAAGCTCCGCAACCATTGCTGGGCTTCGGTTCAGCCATGGAGACCCGCGCTGGTTTAGACCGGTCCCTCAAATACGGGCTGAAGCATCCAAAAGAAACACTATTTCAACTATGTCCTGTAAGTGTTTGTCCCTGCGCAGGTCCCAGCAAGTGGTCACCTTTCATTTTCATGTTCTTTGGACAACGGAAAACCACAACAGCTGGCTCAGGCTTGCCGAGACACGGCGAAAACCGCCTTGGTTGTTGGGTGGTGGTCCCAGCGCATTTCGTTCATGACCCCAAAATCCCACCATGTAAAACAATTGAATCCATTTACCAGTTGTGGGGCGGTACGCAAGAGGTTCCCCATCCTTCAATTGTCACCCTTTCGAACCTGACAAATTCAGACGCCCTTTGCCAAGACCTGGATGGTGGTCCCACATCAAGTTCTTGTGTACAGAAGCGAGCTTTAAAGGTCTCCTTCTCCCTCGCTTTCGCCTCAACACCTTGTCATGTCAAGTCCATGGGGGGGTTAAAGGAAAACCCAAAGAACACCTGGAGCCTTTCCTTCTTTTGTTGCTTGTTGGATGTTTCCTTCTTTTTTTGGGGGTGGGGGCGGGTCCCCCACCAGGTTTTCCCTTCGCGCCGTTTGCGAGGCACCGTGGAGATCATGGGGGAGGAGCCGGAGCGCCGCAAGGCGCGCAAGTACATCAACCTGGCCGGGGCCTCGAGGGAGGGGCCTTTAAAGGGACGGAGTCGGGGTCGGCGGGGGGGGGGGGGGAAGGGGGGGAAAGGTGGGTGGGGAAAAGCAGGAGGTGAGATTCAGTCATGGTGGTTGGGAAGCATTTTGCATCTTTGCTTCTTGAGGTTTAGTGAGAAATCCCTCTTCTTCCAACGTCAACCAAGTGAAAGTCATGGGATGTTTGTTTTGTTTTTGCTGCGGGGGATGGGGGAGAAGGGAGGGGGGGAGGGGGGAGAAGGGAGGGGGAGAGAGAGAGAGACAAGCTGATGTGAGGAGATGGTCTCCTTGACCGTGTTCTGCCATGTTCAGTGTGGCTCCTTTGGTAACGTGCTTGTGTTTAGTGGGAGAGGTGCCATTAACACAGAAGACGAGGAAGAGTATTTTCCGCTCGCATACCTGTGGTTGGTATGAACCCAACACAGAGTCATCTACGACGGACCTGGCATTCCCGGAATTGGGGCACCCTTTTTTGGGGTTGTTTGCAAGGGGAAACCATCTTTTTTGATGGAAACCACTCATGTTGTGGGTTCCTCAAAAACGACAGACTGACCTTGAACCTGTTCACCTGCCATTTGGAGACCTGGGATTATGTTAAATGGAAGCCACATTCTGATGGAGGGGGTGTTTCTCAAACATTTCAAGACCTGGGACTATTTTGAAGGGAACCCACAAATTTTAATGGAAGCCACTCATTTTGGGTGTTTCCTCCTAGCAAATGCAGACCCCTTGCCCTGTGGCGTGACCTGTTCGCCTGCCATTGGCAAAGCGGACCTTGCTGAGGTTCGCGCGCAGCGGGTGGGGCCTGTGCACGTGACCCCGGAGCAGCATGACGACGGGGACCGCCCCAAGCGGTTCGAGTGGCCGAGCCGAACCAAAGGCACCCTTGCCGCCCCCTTGGGACGTGGGAAGATTCATGTTGACCCATGAGTTTTGAAACCCCCAGTTATTGAGCAGGGCAAACTCTCTAGAAGTACCCGACATGTTTTTGGTCCTCTTCAGATCAACGTGAAACCGACAAGGGCTAGTGTCTCTCAACAGGAGCTTCCTCCAAAACCGCTGGTTCTTTGGGAACTTTGCCTCAAGCGGAACCAGTCAGGAACCGGAACCTTTCCTTGGGGCGTCCCTTTGTCTGGTTTTGGAATTCGTGCAAACATTGCAAATCGGCTTATAGGGAAGCCCAAAACTGAAGCCGCTTCAATCCCTTGGACAGATGTGGGTTGACCGTGGCGCGCATTCATATGGCCCTGAAATTTTCAGAGTTGGAACCCTGTCTCAAAAGGTCTCAAAAGTTGGTTGGACATATTAAAATCCTCCAACTAGAAATGGTGGACACAACCCCCGCCCCCCCCTTTTGCCCTCCCTGCCCCCTGAGCACCACAGGGTCGTGCCATGGGCCCGTCAGGATCTCACGATGTTCCCGGTGCCCTCGAGCTGCGTGGGCTTCGTCACGGGCTCCCAGGGCAACTTCCTGAGGACGGGACGCGGGACACGGCGTGACGTGTGACGTGTGACGTGGCTGGCGGTTGGGTTGAGGCGGTGGACTTTGGGGCGGAAGGAGTTTGGGGCGGTGGTCTGGGGCCGTTGGCCCTGGCTGAAACATGGTGAAGCACCAGGTGTTCGATTGAAAAACGGTTCGATGGTGAAAGAGGGCCTCAAACAACCTTGGCCACTTCCCTCAAGGTACCTTTTTTCAGGCATGGCCATGGAGTTTTGTCCGGATCATGTGGGCACTTTGTTGGACCTTACAAGGTGCCGCATGTCTGGTGCCCTTTCTCACCCTTTTTTGGTTGGGAGGGTTCCCCTGCTAAAATAAACTACAGAAAAAAGTTGGCACCCTGGAGTCACTTTGCGGTTTGCCAGGACCTGCGAGGAAGAGTGGGGCACCCTGATGTTCTTCTGCGACTACCAAGGCCTCATCCGATCCTCACATTGGCCTGCCGGTGGCGCTTGGCCTAGGAAAAGTTTGGGAATCAAATGAAGCGCGGTATGGGATGGGAGTCCTTTAGTTTCTCCTCGTTTGAGTTGCTTAGAGGGAGACGCAAGGAAAGTATGTCATGTCTGGTAGGATCACAGTAGGATCGTACTTTACGGAAAAAAAGGAGATCGCTTTGTGCAGTGTCCAACACCACCCCTATAACAATGCTCCTGAGTTCCTGGACGTGATCTTGTGTGAGATTACCATCTTAGTGGTAACCAAGAAGTTGAGACTTTTCTGGCCAATCCGCTCAGCAAGTGAGCCTAGCAACGTACCAGCTGTGCGAAAAGCAGCGGCCCAACACAGACCCGGCACAGATCGAGTGCAGTTGACCGAGTCGTCAAGTGATGTTCATAAATATCGAACCAATACCTCTAGGTTCTACACCTGAGACGATTGACAAGCTGAATCTGGAGTCTAAATAGATTCTTGAAGAAACGCTTGAACTGCAAGCATGTCACAAACCAAGTGCTGGGCAAACTAGCATTGGAAGGAGTACCTGCGGGAGGGTCCTGTGTCACTGACGATTTGGAGGACAAGAGGATCAGGATGAAGATGAGAAAGAGGATGATTCTGTTACCCTTAAAAGGTACGTGGACCCTCAATTTCCCTGAAACGTTGGCTATTGGCGCACTTACGGGGTGAATCCCCTTTTTTTTGATATAGTGCGAGGGTATAGGTACTCACTCTTCAGGCTTATCATGACAGCCTGTGATGCCCTGAAGGAGCACTTGCGTGATGTAGATCAAACTGAAAATTGCCCACGTTCAATCCTTTGGGTGTGCAGGCTGGTTGACTTGGCGTTTGTGATGTTTCTGGGCACTTCTTGAGCTGCACCCCCCCCCTGGCACACTCCTCTGCAGTAGCGTTTGTTTTTCTGTGGGTTTCTTTAGCAAAACGGGCCCCGAACGTCGTTTTTTCTGGGACCCAGCCGTCAGGCCCTGGCGGCAGCAGCGACGACTCGGAGAACTTGGCGGGGCTCCGAGAGGGGACGAAGGGATGAGATGAGGGAGGGCCATTGCACGCGCCTCAGACCCCCAACCCCCCCCCCAAAAGCAAAAAAGGGTTCTGAGAGGATGTGTGAGAACCTATGGGTTTGAGGGGCCTTTGGTTTCCGACCAGTTGCCGGCCCTTTCAATTCAATGCAACCGGCAACCTTGTAGAGGCTTTGGTGTGCGACCGCATGCGTGAAGCATACTTTGGAGATTCCTGGCCTTTGTTTCCTTTTGCTGGTGCGATAGGTAGGGAATGATCCAATGTGTTGGGAATGAATCGCTTGGAGATTCCTGCAAAGGAAACCGTATATATATATATATAGGGATGTTTCTTTTTCGGGTTCGTTCCAACTAATTTCCTGCTGAGAACCAGCAACTGTTTCTCTTGGGTGTTTCCCTTGTTGAACTATGAACGAAGTTGTGTTGGAGATTTCAGAAAACATGTGGTCTCGCCAAAACCCTTTGGTTGGGAAGAGGGCACGGCAATCGCAAATGAGTCTTTTCCGCGTGGTCCGTACTCGAGCGGCAGTTTTGGTAGCCGCGGCTTCTCGCCGATCTGGTATTGCTCATCCAAAACGGCAATTGCCTCAAGCTCCAACAAAAACCTACCGACTTCGCCCTTGCCTCACCCCATCCTCCCTCCACCCTCCCTCCACCACCACCCCCCAACCCCTCACCCCATCCACCCTCCACCCTCCCTCCTCCACCACCGCCCCCAACACCCGCCCAGCCAAACCCGCGCCCAAGCCGCGCCCCATGCGAACGAGTCTCCGGCCGTTCCGGGCACCCCGCCCCCTGCCCCGCGCCAGCGAGGCCATCTTCGGGACCCGCGCCGGGCGCACGGGCGCGGAGCTGAAAGTCATGGCCGCCATCGAGGCCAAGATCCCGCGCCTCGGCTCGGAGCTCGAGGGACTCGAGGGACTCGAGGGATGGGGACGACCCCAGGTCCCCCAGCGATTGGTGCCCGCCTCTCACCCTTTTCTTTTTTGGTTGGGAACAAGAATCCCTCAGTAGAACAGACTACAGAAAAAAAGTTGGCACCCTCATGCTAACCTCTCTACTGGAGGACCTAGGGACCTCTCGGGTTCGAATTCTGGGGGCTTGGGGCTTGCTGAAAGGAATTGTCCGAGCCATTTCCAGAGCGGGGAAACTCCGAAAAGTGGCGATCGGTTCCTGTGAAATCTGTGAATTGCAACCTTAGGGGAAATCCAGCAACTCAGAAAGGAAGAAGGGGAACCCCACAAATAAGTGGCTGCAAGGGAAAACATGACACGCGACTGGGCTGCAAGGGAAAACAAGAAGGAGAAAAAGCGATTGATTGAACAGTAGCCCATGTCAATTTGTGGGAGCACATAGGTGGAGTAGGGGAAACATCAAATTTCCCAATTTCCTCGTGAGGGGGAAGGAACAGGGGATGTTTCAAGGTGGGTTGGAAGGCTTCCCGGTTGTGGTTTAAACCAATACTATGCTGTTTGGCCTTGACCAAGACAGACCCCTTTTGGATGTCCCGGTTGCACCAAGCACTTCAAGTAAGTCGAAGATATTGTAGCTACCGTAAACCACGGACTGCCAGAAGCCTGCTTTCTCAAGTGTACAGGTCTGGGGGTGCCAGGGCGTGCCACCAGTCGATTTGTGGCACTCCGCATCCCATTTGGGGAGAAGATATTGAAAAATAACTGGAGAACACGAGGTTTTTGCAATCGACTGGGGAATGCATGGTGCGATTCAAATAGAAGGGAATGAGCATGTTCGGGTCCAAAATAGGGTTTGGAGGTACTAGTTGCAATTGCAAGATAATGAGAGGATGGTGATGTCAAGAGAGAAAGCAAGATGACGAAGGAAAGAAGCTTGTCCCACCATCCACATTTTCCCGCTCACTCACCTCTTCGTTCTCTCATTAAGACTCGCCCGAGCGAAGACAGAAACAGCGAGGATATGAGAGAGAAAGAGAAAGAGAGAGAGAGAGAGAGAAGCCGCGCAATAATTGTTGCTGTCAGGCGTGGATGGAGACCGTAGGATAGAGATTAAGCAAGCCTTTCTTTAAGCAAGACATCGGCGGCGAGACGGCGTAACACACATTTACAAACACCAGTTTTTCTTTGGGCCCCGCGCGCGCAGGGTGCAGCCTTGATCCGGTGTTTGCAGGGCAAAGGAGGCTGATATTTCTTGGCTTGCGTCCGACAGCTGACAGCATCTTGCAGGACCAGTTTATGTCCTGGACGGAGAGCAAGCGGGCGACGTCTTCCCATGTGGACGAAGAGAGTGGGATGTGGATTGGCCTTGAGGAGGAGGTTAACTCGGACGACCCTCGCATTCACGAGGGACAGCTCGTGGACTTGTCGCAACGCGATCTTGCCACCGACCAGCCAGTTCAATTCTGGGAAACATCGCTCAATACCATGATGATCCTCATCCCACATGTGACCCAAGCTGATCGAGTGGACAAACGCGCTGCTGCGCGGCATCATTCACTCACTCTACTTGGGCGAGTGGCAATCAGCACGAGCAACGCTCAAGGCCGCACGTGTTCAAGCCGTTCGAAGGGCTGACGGGGGACGACCAGAGGAGGCACCTGGACGAGCTGCCGCCTGACAAGATCTACCAACAGCATGCTCGAATTGATCGGATGAGCGCCGGGGATGCGCACTTGGGGCGCAACTTGTATGGCTGTGCAACGTTAAAACATGAATGTGCTTGAATGCCCAGGCCACTGAAGTCCTTGTTGGCTACTGGCTTGAGATCGCATTGAGAAGAGATATGCCCCTGAGTGCCATAAGATATTGGCCTTCACCTCCCATGTTTTTGAATGCTTTACGCTCGTGAGCTCGCAGCTTTGTGCAAGAAAAGCGCCTGAGCACGTGGTGTGCTGATCATGATCTCTGCAACCAGCCTGAAGGTCCTCGCAGGTGGCCTGGGCAGGTGGTCTTTATAGGCTTTGAGGGTGGATTGCCATGCAGCTCAAGCGAAAACGTTTATGTAGCTTTGGGTTGAAGTAAGGTGAGTTTGGGGGCGGGGGCCCAGCACCCACCTCAAACCCACCCTGAACCCACCCTGAGCCAAACAAGCCTAATCCACCCCGCAGTACACCCACCCAGCAAAGTCTAAAACAAGAAATCCCAGCCATCCCCGGCAAGTTTGTTTTGATGCCCAATAAGGTTTTTGTTGATGCCGCAGTTTGGATCCGGTGTGTTTTCCTCGGGCTTGGTTGGTTGGTTGGTTGGTTGGTTGGTTTGTTCATCACCAGCATCGTTTAGGATCGGTTTTCCCTAGGGAAACTCCAAAAAATGGCGATCGTTTCCTGTGGAAAATCTGTGGCTTGCAACCTCAGGGGAAATCCAGCAACTCAGAAAGGAAGAGCGGGAAACCCCACAAATAAGTGGCTGCCAGGGAAAGCATGACACACGACTGAGCTGCAAGGGAAAACAAAAAGGAGAAAAACACGATTGAGTTGAAGGCAAACGTTTGTTATTGCTTTCCGATCAAGCAGGAGTCATTGCTCCGTTCGTTCCTTGTATTATCTGAGAGACGCACCCCACGAGCGAGCCATTGGACGAACCATTTCCCTTGGTGTACCAACTCGCGCTTAAGCTAGATGCTGCCTAAAGCGCAGTTCCCTCAGTAAGGGGAAGCCTCGAATGGATTTTTAGGTGTGGCATTCCCTTCACTTTGCCTTCCCAAAGGATGCGCGCCTCTCACCAAGAGGGGTAGGTTGTTTCGGTCGCCTGCCGTCCTGGGAGCCTAGGAGCTACTTCACCAAGGACCTCGGCGATGAATGTTCTTCCGCCGCTGGGCTGCATGCCACCAGCGGTCACCGGTCCAAGGGCCGAGGGTCTGAGTCCTCCGACGCGAAAAATCTGGGTACGAAAAACACCACGTGACATGCTGCGGTAAGAGCCTCCGAAAGCAAGTGAAACTGCCAAAAAAAGCGCATGAATTGCTTGGGGCCCATTTTCCATGAACTGGCCGTGGGTCAAAATGGAACCCAGAAGGGGACCGCAGGTTTTAGCCCATGTTTCCTTCTCCCGGGTTCCATTTTCTTTTTACCCAATTTTTGACCCGCAGCCAACTTTTTTTTTGTTTTTTCTCGGGGGAAGCGGGGGGCTTTTGTTTGGCGCCAGGAAGACTGGGGCCGCGACACCATCCCCCTGGAAGACGAGGAGTTGTCCTTCGCCTTGGGCAAGGACCGGGGCGCTGCGTTCGCGGACGGGAGCCGGCGGGAACGGGCAAAGGGGGTGGGGCCAGGTTTTGGCTTAAAGAAAGCACGGCGATTGCTTTATGGCCATGGGGCTTCACCTATAGCCTATAGCCATTTTGGGGTGGATGAATTCATCCATTCGCCACCTAGTTTGATGTCCAGGGGTACAGGGTTTTGACACACCGCCTGGTCGCAACCCGCCATGGACCCCTAAAAGCTGCACCTCAAGCTGCGCGAATCTCCTTGCGTCTCCATAGGCCAGGGGCCGGTGGTTGAAACCCATCGTGGGGATGGCCCATTTTCGGTACAGACATTTGATGATCTTCCACCTCCATGCAGGTCGCCTCCACTTTTGCTCCATCCAAAGAGGCGAAACTGGGCCAGGGGACATTCCTTTGAACGGGAATAGAGGTACATCATGAGAGACAAATCGGACCATGGCAGCGCACTGAATTCTGTACTGTTTGTGGGGGAAATATAGACTCATACAGGACCCGCAGAACATGGCGAGTTTCCCTCCTCAAAAAAGTAAGCTGAAAATCAACACCCTCATACTGTGGATGGAAGTTCCTGTGCCAGTTGGTATTGTAACTCGGTTGTTCATCCAGTCTCAATGGGTATTTGCCCACCCCGGTCAGCGCCAGAGGTTGGGCAGTGGCTTTCCCATCTCAACATGGCAAGTTGACTCGCCTTTTTTCAGCTGGTGCCCTTTTTCGCGGTGGTTTTTTCGGTTGACACCCAAAGGACCAGCGAATTCCATTTTGCGGGTCGTTTAAGAAAGGGAATCCCTGGTTTCGTTTCATTGGAATCAATTCCAAGACTCCAAAGGCTGGGCCAAGGTGTCCATCTTGCCTCAGGACGGCTCTACAAGGAAGAAGCTGGCTCGAGCCAGCGGTTGCATCCTAGAGCGCGGGTCCCAGCAGTGTCCAAAAAATCGTGTTTTGCGGGGGATCGGAGATCCCCGTCGTGCTTCCAGATGACGTTTAAATTTGAACAAATTGTTGCTCTGTGTTCACATTTGGCCTAAATATAGGCCACACATTGCTTCAGGTCGCTGAAAGTATAATAAGTGCTGATGATTGCTAGATCTTCACAAATTTGGTATTGACCGAGAAACAACCAAGAGTGCCCGGCAGTGAGTTGGTTCCTTTGCGGGTTTAAGGGTTGGTGACTTCCATAAGGCTGCTTCCATGTTGGTTTTCAAGCGCGGGACCCAGATTCTTGAAGTCACCCAGATGTTTGTTCCAAGTCATAGTTCCTAGGTGCCGGGTTTGCGGTGGTTGCATGTGCGGAGAGGTTTTGCGTTTTTGGGTTTGGTTCCCAGCCACCATTCCGGAGCCGCAGCGGAGCGAGCGTGGAGAGGTATGTGGGCTATGTGGCCTTCCTCGCGGGCTCGGTGCCTGCCCGGAGGCGGCTTCGGGCGGGGGTTCGATAGGCAGGGATGGCAGGGAATGCGTGGGAATGAGTGGGAATTGACCCCTATCCATCTATGGTTTCCTTTAAGGGAGTCCCCAAACGGGAGTCCACAAATTCTTAGGTTACTACCTGGTGGGGCGGGTGGTTTGGAGCCCGGTGGATTGGATTTGGATTTGAACGCCAAATGGGAAACCAAATGGGAAAGGTACCCGGGTTGGCCCTTGGCCACCAAACCCCCTGGGAAATGGACCCCCTTATTCGTTTGCATGTGTTGCTTTGTGCAGGGGAGCAACCATTGGATGGTTTGCATGGGTCGTTTTTGTTTCCCTTTTACCAAAAAGAGACACCCATTTGGGTACCCATCGTGGACACTTGGTTGCACAAGAGGCATTTTCAAAGTACCATATGTTGCAACCTGTTTGTTTAGGGTAGCTCGTGGTTTTCTAGTCTGCAAAAAAAGGCCTCGAAGTGTCTATGGCATGAGTATTTTTTGTTTTTTCCCGGTGCAAAGGCAATTTCCTTTGGCGGTCTCTCGCGATCTCCGCTTGGGGCGGTGGCAGCCACCAAATGTCGCCCAATGAACAACTAGGCCCCCCCCCAGCTAGGTGGTGCCCGACCTCTCACCCGTTTCTTTTTTGGTTGGGAGGGAAAGTCCCCTACTAAAATAGACAAAAAAGAAAATGGTTGGATGCTCTCTGCTGGACAACCTAGACAATGCTCACATGGAACCCAAGAAGTGGCTCCGTGTCCTGTTTGGTGAATCCAGGGAATCGCTCAAGGGCATCCAGGGACATGGAATCCAGGGTTCCCAATGGAGAACATGGAACCAGGGAAACCAGTTGGACTGGTTTTCAGGAGAATCCATACAACTGGTTTTGGAAGCGGGGGTTCCATGCTCATCAGAGTAATTCCATGCCCAAATCTGTGGGTGTTGAGTCTCTAAATTGGAACCACATTGTCGGGAAACGACTGATGCACCCATGGTAGTGAGCCCAACTACCCATTAAGCTAATGTGAATCACTATTGTCCCATGAGCAACTGACAAGACGAGTGAGGCATAGCGTATTTCCAGTGTCTATATACCGACCTGGAGTCATAGCAGTGGGGAGATAGCAATGACTATTTGAGGCCATCACTGGCCATCGCTCCCTTATGAACTTGCGAATTGGCTCTGAAGCACTAATTATCCCAACCAACACCCATCCCTCCGCCAAGAAAGCACCAACAGGGGGGGGGTACCATGGCAGTCTTGGTTTTGCAGGGACACCAAACAACGGGGGTCCCCCAAACAGAGACATCCACCCCATGCCTATTCGGCAAGCTTTCCGAGACTCAAGCCCTTGGAGGCGCTGCCGGGATTACCTCACCTGGCTTTTGAAGCAGCGCACCGGCACGGTCTACGTGGACACACAGAATCGCCACAGCCCCGGTTGCGAACAGATGGGAAGGAGCGAGCCCGGTTTGGTCGTAAAGGTAAACACGTATTTGTGCGTGTCTTGTATTTGGTCCGCTTCTTGCGATCGGGTTAAAAGGGAAGCCAAAGGAATGTGCCCGCCAGACCGGGGGAGCGATCCTTGATTCTGGCGCCGGTCTTTGGTACCCTCGGAAGGGGGCGTGGCAGTGTCCCCTGCCCTCAGCAGAATCGTTGAATCGGGTTCGACCCGATTCGGAACGCCCTTTAAAACGGGAAGGAGGTTGGTGGCAAATGATATCGACACTCGAAACCTTGTTTTTGATTTGGGAAACTAACCTCTGAAGAGCAAAGAGTTTAGCGGTCTCCGATTCTGTTTTTGTTTAGCAAAGATCTTTATTGAATGTTGTTTTGTACTTCTGGAGGCTTTCCTTGTTTAATATGTATGAACCAGATTCACAAATATCGATGAATTTGCACTTTGACCTAAAGGTGCACAGAAGAGGGTTTCCACTCCCAAACCAGTACCCCCAGGTGGCAAACTCGTTGTATTGTAGTGTCGAGTTTAGTCGCGACTGAAGACTGCTTGGGTCGAACTGCATCCGGTCCCTTCGTGAACCCCTTCCATCGATTTGTTAGTGTCTCCCGTCGAGGCTCGGTGACCCTTATTGTGGTTTCAGAGAGAATCCAAAGGAATGCCACCTTTTCTTTTTGGGGGATCCCCTTTAGACACATATATATATATATATATGCACATATATATATGTATATAAATATTCACACATATATATATATATATATGGTACCCCCCCCAAAAAAAAAATGTATTTACAGTGCTTTGTCACCAAAACCTGCATCTGCCAGAACACACACACACTTTTCAGGCCCACTGTTTGAATCTGTCAAAAGCCTCTCATTTGGCAGCCAATGCTGCAACCAAGTACTATGTTTGCGTAAGGGCATCTCTTCAAGGAAGCGCTTTGGAAACTGAAAAAACTGAAACAACTGAGAAAAAAACTGAAAGAAACAAAACACCAAGGATTCAGGGGGACATGGCCCCCCCCCCCAGGCATGTACCCCTGAATCCTTGGTTTTTCACTTTTTTCAGTGTTTTTTTTTTTCAGGTTTCTCCTAGTATTCACCTTTATTATTCCCCTAGTATTGTCTGAGCAACAAAGCACTATGATTGCACAAGGGCATCTCTTCAAGAAAGCGCCCCGGACACTGAAAAAACTGAACCAACAAAACTAAAAAAGAATGGAAAACTGGAAAAACTGAAACAACTTTAAACACTGAAAAACCAAGGATTGAGGGGGACATGGGGGCCCCCCCAGGCATGTCCCCTCAATCCTTGGTTTTTCTGTTTTTTTCTCTTTTTCAGTTTTTTTTTTTCAGTTTTCCCCTAGTATTCACCTGTATTACTCCCCTAGTATTTTCTGAGTATTCCCCTAGTATTGCCCTAGTGACCTAGCCAGGAAACATGAGAGGTCAGACAAATTGAGCCTCGTATTTCCTCAGCATTCCCCTAGCATTCTCCTAGGACGCTCCTTAGTATTCCCCTAGTCTTCCTTGAGTATTTCCCTAGTATTGCCCTAGTATTCCTTTAGTATTCTCTTGGTATGCCCCGAGTATTTCCTAGTAAGGGACGGGTAATACTGCCCTAGTCTTCCCTGAGTATTTCCTTGCCCTGGTATTCCTTTAGTATTCTCTTGGTATGCCCCGAGTATTGCCTAGCAAGGGAAGGGCAATACTAGGGGAATACCTTTAGTATTGCCCTCGTATTCCTTAAATATTATTATTTTGGTATACCCCTAGTGTTCCCTCAGAAATTGTCTAGTATTCTCCTGTGTTCACCTTTTAATATTGCCCTAGTATTCCCTGAGTATTTCCTTAGTATTGCCCTACAAAGCCCTACTATTCAGTTAATTCAGTAGTCTCTTGGTATACCCCTAGTATTTCCTCACTACTCCATAGTATTCCCTTGCTATTTCCCCTAGTAAACGGATGGAATTACTAGGGGAGTACCTTTAGTATTGCCCTGGTATTCCTCAAATATTATTTTGGTATACCCCTAGTATTCCCTCAGAAATTCCCTAGTATTCTCCTAGTGTTCACCTTGAATATTGCCCTAGTATTCCTTGAGTATTTCCTTAGGATTGCCCTAGTATTCCCCTATTATTGCCCTAGTATTCAGTTAATTTAGTAGTCTCTTGGTATACCCCTCGTATTTCCTCACTACCCCATAGTATTCCCTTGCTGGTGTTCCTTGAGTGTTCTGTTGGTATACCCCTAGTTTTCTCTCAGTATTCTCCTAGAATTCTTCCAGTATTCACTTGTAGTATTCCCCTACCTAGTACTTCCCTAGTAGTGACCTAGTATTGTCCTTGTCAGGAAGCCTGAGAGAAGTCAGACAGATTAAGCTCGAGAGTATACCCCTAGTATTCCCTCAGTATTCCCACGTATTATCCTAGTATTCACCTTTAATATTGCCCTAGTATTCCCTGAGTATGTACCTAGTATTGCCCTAATATACCCCTAGTGTTTCCTCACTACCCCCCCAGTGTTCCCCAAGTATTTCACTAGTAAAGGAAGGGGAATATTAGGGGAATACCTTGAGCATTATTTAATTAACTAGGCAGCTAAATAGATAACTAACTGATTAGCCAAATAGCTAGCTGACAGGCTTCAGAGCTAATTCATTACAACTATATAACTGACTAATTAGCTGACTTGCTGAATGTTTGTTTGACTAACTAATTGAACTTGCCAACATTTACTGCTTGAACTTGAACAATATGCGTTTCGCAGAGGCGAACATACACATGTTTCTCAAAAGTTGCATTTTGCCAGTGATTTTGGCAATTGTCCAGGTTCAAAACCTGGGTTTTGGAGGGGGGATAGATATATATATATATATTATAGCATATATGTGTATATACATATATGTGTATATGTATATATATATATATGTTATTTGGGCGGTCCCCTAAAAAAAAGGAGAGATCCATGTGACCGCTTGGACTCATTCCAGGCAACGACGTCACGGTGGTGAACATGCCTCAGGACTTCGAGGCTTCGCGCCGTCGCTCGGAGGGGCGGTTTGGAGCGGATGGGAAGGAGGAAGCAGTTGGTACACTGACGCGCCCTATGAATACACCCCCCTGTTTATTAATATAGGGGTGTCCAACTGGTTTTAGTGGGGTTGCTCACTTTTGGAGGGGAACACCCGAACAGGTCCTATTGTCTAAGAGACCAACAGGAAGTTCTACAGGAAACCCGTGATTTTGGGAATTTGGCTAGTTTCCTGTAGAATTTCCTGTAGCTGGTTTCTATGATATTTGGTTTCCACCCCTCATGCTTGTTGTGTTTTAGTAATCAAGAGTCACATTCAATGTGGGTAGTCAGGCTTTTTAGCTTTCCATTGTTTGGCTAGGTCTCCCAGCTTGGTGCCCTTTCTCACCCCAACTTTTTTGGTTGGGAGGGAAACCCCCTACTAAAAAAGACTATACAGAAGCAGTTGGTATCCTTATTATAACGTCTATACTGGAGGACCTAGCCGAACGTTAAGAAAAACAACAAGTGTTTTTTCAAGGAAGAATCAGATACCAGAAGGGTGCTGAGCCTTATTTTCCAAAAAGGGGCAGAGGCCTGGCTCCCCAGCGTCATTCTTCCGAGTTTTCTTTGCGCTCAGGGCGTCGGCAGCGTGTTCAAGAGCATGGCGCTGAGAGGCATTGAGCAGGCGGGGGCGCCCCGCGTTTCTCTCGCCGGGTTCGGGGCACGAGTCTCTGGATTTCCCCTTCAAAAGTTGGAATTGTTTGGTGGTGTCCACTCAACTTTGGTGCATGTTGCTTGGCTGTTAGGACTTTAACTTTTTGCCAACTAATGGGTTTTCCACTAAACCACTAAAAGTTAGTCACTTTTAGCAGGGGAGCAGTTTTCGCAACCGAGTCCACTCAGCCCTTTTTAAGGAGGTTCCGCGAAGGGAAATGGCTGAGAAACCCTGTTCCATGTCTATGTCCCTTTTGGGCTCGGGCTGGAGATGCTCAAAGAGGAACTGATCGAGTTCGCTTTGAGTGACCGGGGTCGAGTGTGTCAATACACACCCAAGTGTTGGAGACAAATCTCAGGCTGGACCGTTGACCCCCGACTCGCCGAAATCGCCAAGCCGGCAGGTAACTAGGTCCCCCAGTAGTGCCCTTGTACCCTTTTTTTGGGGGAGGGTTCCCCTACTAAACAAAAGAAACAAGTTGGTAGCCTTATTCTAACCTCTCTACTGGAGGACCTAGGCAATGTATGGGCGGAGCTGAAAGTGTGGAAAGGAGCAGGGAGGCGTGCAGCGTGGACCTTTTTGAGACTACTGGGGCAGATGTAAGGGCAGGACTTGCCAGCCGTGAAGGCTACTTTTCCCACTCGTCTCCCAAACATGTGACTTTGGAGGGGCCAGGTTTCGGGCGAATGAAAGCGGGAACAAGCTTACAATGGGATTTGGTTTGCAGCAACTTCACCCATGACGCAGTTGTGAATCCCTGGATACAGCTTTGCGACTCGGCCCAAAATTATACACTGTTTCTTGCGTCGCGGATCCTTTTTCACAGGAGCTGCGTCCTCCCGTCATCATGTGTTTCTCGTTTGTTTAGCACAAATCACGGCAGCCCCAGATAATGAGAGAATGGGCCATCGGACTTTAGGACTGAGTTCAGTAGGATAAAAATATTTTGCCCCGTGTGTATGTCCCCAGGCCACCACCCCCACTGGTAAGCCGTTTGGATGAAACCACTTGGGCCTCCAGGCTGGGCTCCGCTAAAATTGGTGCTCCCGATTCCTCCGAAACACTTCCCAGTGTAATTTGTCAACCCTTAGGTGCCCTTGAATCGGGCGGAGAAACCTCTACGAGCGTGTTTGTTGCTCGCTTTTTTGTTTGTTTGTTTGTTGCTCGCTTTGTTTGTTTGTTTGTTTGTTTGTTTGTTTGTGTCTGTCTGTCTGTCTGTCTGTCTGTCTGTTTGTCTGTCTGTCTGTCTGTCTGTCTGTCTGTCTGTCTGTCTGTCTGTCTGTCTGTCTGTCTGTCTGTCTGTCTGTCTGTCTGTCTGTCTGTCTGTCTGTCTGTCTGTCTGTCTGTCTGTCTGTCTGTCTGTCTGTCTGTCTGTCTGTCTGTCTGTCTGTCTGTCTGTCTGTCTGTCTGTCTGTCTGTCTGTCTGTCTGTCTGTCTGTCTGTCTGTCTGTCTGTCTGTCTGTCTGTCTGTCTGTCTGTCTGTCTGTCTGTCTGTCTGTTTGGGGGGGGGGGGGGCGAAACGTCACCTTATTGACCAGTTTGAATTGTAAGTTGTGCGTAGGCTTCCCCTGAAGTCAACAGCCCGTAGCATATCCTTTTGTAACCTCTCTTCTTTCGATGGAACTGATTCATCCTTCCTTTCCCCCATTGCCACTTGCCACTGCTTTGCGCTGGTTCCCATCCTTTTTCGTTGTGCTTGCCGGTGAACATTTCACAACCCGCTGAAACCTTGGTTCCCCCAGCTAGTAACCACCCAAAATTACCAATCTCATTGACAATCCAAACCAATCTGAGGGAAGCTGGTTCACCTTGGTTTTTCCCGCTTGCTTCCCTTCAGCCCAAGGCTCTTCCAGCATTCTCCGAATTCGCTTCTCGATTCGCTAAAAGGACTGGGGTAGACTTGGGATACATTTTTCATTTTACCAGTGACTCAAAGTGAAGCAAAGGACATTTTTTCGTTTTTACATTTTACATGTTACCAGTGACTCAAACTGAAGCAAACGTTTTTTTTTTTTTTTTACATTTTACCAGTGACCGGTGACGAGTGAAGCGAAGCAAACGAGAAGATGTACATTCTCTGGGCCTAGCTAGGAGACGAAGACCTTCTGCTTCCTGGAGGGCAACACCAGCAAATCCGAGAGGCTCGCTCCGAGCGGCCGAGGATTTTTTTTGGCAGCTTTGGCTCCGCCCGCGAAAAAAAAAAAAAAAAACGTGCGCCCGGAGGCTTGTTGTTTCCCCTTGGGGGGGTCCACTTTGGTTTTTGGAGATCGTTTCCAGAAATGGCTTCGGAGATCCTTTCCAGAAAGACTGCTGAAGCGGAAGAAAGTCCAGAAAGACCGGCATTAGGGAGGTGTTATTGGATGTTATTGGGAATCAGGGAAAACCTCCTTCCAGAAAGACTCCTTGACTGGGAGGTTTCTCACTCGGGGGTCAGCATGGGTCGGCGGTGTCCAAACTGGAGTTGGTTTGCCTCGAGAGCTTGGGGGCTCCCGGCGCCTCGTATGGCCACTCTCGTTCGGCCAAGAACTGCCGTAGTTGCCCGGGCAGTTGGCGTTTTTTTTGACCCGTATGAAACCTGAAAACCGGTACGCACTCCCCGAGTTTCTGGACTTGATTCCAAAATGGAAGACCACTTTAGGAGCAGACACGTCCACATTCTGGGAGTGCCCAACAATTGCTACAGGACCGGACTCGCGTTGAAACACCAGCGAATGAGAAGCGGCTATTTTGGAGGGGCCCCATTTTTCTTGGGACAAGAAACACTAAGACAAGCCATAAAATTCAAATGGGCCAAGAACATGCGGCCGAGCTGGCGATGTGTCAAACGCTTTTCCCCACGGAAGCGTTTGTTTGAAGGCGCGCCTTTGGCAAGTGGAAGTCGATTGGGGATGCCCACAGGTAGTCCCCTTGCCCCAAGCAGAGTTGTGCTTGGGCAGCCCATGTCTTCTTGTTGCTTCAGAGAAGCAAGGAAGCACCCCGGGTTTCCTCGCTTAGAGTGTCCAAGCACCCCCTATATAAAGATGTTCTTTCAAGGGTGAGAAGGGATCAACAAACGTGCTGAGCAGCTACTTGGACCTTCTTTTTTTTGAGCTGGTTTCCCACATCCCCCTGCTCACTTGGCACGTTGAGGGGTGACTGACAAGCTGGGAAAGCGGTTTCCCCCAATTCTGGACTTCCCCCAGTCACTGCTTGCCCTTGTTGTGCACAACTTGGTCCACCCTGGTCGCACGGACGATTTGGCTCATTGTAAGTGGATGCGAACGGCTAGCAGTGGTAAAGGGCCCAGTCGCAGGGACAATCCCTTATCCCTTTCCGGACGATAGATAGATGAGATTGGATTAGATAGGACAGATAGATAGATAGGTATACAAAGGTATGAATGCATGCAAATATCTGTATTCTCCATGAAATGCATGTGGGTGCGTGTCGGTTCTTGGCAAGGCGCCTGATCTGGGTGTTGGCGAGGCCGACAAGAACGAAGCAAAGCACTTTAGGGGTTAAACGTTGACTTGGTGGCTCCCAGCCATCCCCTTTGCTTTTTAGCTTTTTAGTGTTTTGTGGGGTTTTCCATTTGGCCCACTAAAAGTTAAACCTTTAGCGGAAATCTGAGGGTAGAGCCCCTCACGCGATTTTCACGCCTTCGGTTTTGTTGATTGCAGGTTGCTGATCTTCGGGCACGACAAGGGCGGCCGCGAAAAGGCCAAGAACATTGCGCTGGGCAAGATCGAGGAGCGCGCGAGGGGAGTGACGAAAACCAGGGCTGAGAAAAGCGCGTAGGGAGGCTTGGAGCGGTCTTAGAGATCACCTTTTGGGCCCTGGACAAAGGATGTCGTGTTTCTTGGGGTGAGGTGATGTTTATTTGGGGAAGCATAGGGAGCCCAGTGCGCAGCAGTTGGTTCTTTGCGGGGAAAAAGTGCCCTTGGAAAAGGGGTCACCAGTTTTGAAGGCACGCGGGTGTAAAGGAGAACAGCCATCCTTGACGGCCCATTTTTGTTTTTGCGTCTTGACTTGTTCAACTTGTTTGGAGGGTTCCCAAAATCAACCAGAAGGGGTGTTCCTCCAAAGTCAAGCCCAAAAAGTGCCCTTTGTCATCCTGGAAATGCACTGGAGGTTTGGGCAAGGCCCTCCAATAAAAGCTGCCAGGGTTCGTCCCCAATCACATCACCCGGCTCAGCAGCGTTAAGGTGCTTCCACTTGGCCGCTATTTGATTGGATCTTTCGCCTTGAACTCTTCTCACTTGTGTGACGTCTGGTGAGTCGCAGACGATCTGGGTGTCTCTTCTGGGTCCCCCAGTAGTGCCCTTTCTCACCCCTTTTTTGGTTGGGAGGGTTCCCCTACTAAAATAGACTACAGAAAAGGGTACCCTGGTTCTAGCCTCTCTACTGGAGGGCCTTGTCTTGGTTTTCCCCAAACAAAACAACGGGGCAATTTTGAGACAGACCCATCGCCATAGCCCGAGGAGCGCCTGAAGAACGACGAGAAGCACCACGGCGGCGGAGGCAACCGCAGGCGGGAACGGCGGTTGCTCCCCCCAGTGGGCGCATGGGGGGTTGAGCCCTTTTTGGTGGTTGTTCTTCCTTTTCTTCTGCTTCTTCTTCTTTTTCTTCTTCTACTTTTTCTTCTTCTTATTCTTCTTTGTTTTCTGTTGTTGTTCTTCTTGTTCGCATCAAGCTGCGATTTGCAAGGTTTCAAAGGAGGCTTACTCTTTCTGGATGTCGAAGTCGGGACATGGACGAGTCCCATGAGAGCCAAGGGGATCAGCGCCTCACGTTGACTGTGCTGAGAGATACTTGGATTCACGGCCCTTCAGCATGGAATCATGACTGAATCGTGACCCCTTTCTTTTGAGTACTGACCCTATGGTTGTGTCAGGTCATGGAGACTGCACGTATATCGTCCTTTAGTACTGCAATGTTTGTTTACGGTCATGGAGACTCCAGTTATCTCCAGGTATAACTTTTGAGTACTGGCCCCATGCTTTTTCTTTCAGCTCGTGGAGACTCCAGTTAAATACAAATAAGTGGAGGGTTTTGAGGGTGTCGCAAGGGGCTTTGTTTGTCCGCGGGGGTGGCGGGCCTGAGGGATGCGGTCGGGGCTGCAGGAAGAACTACAGAAGCGAACATCCGCCAAAGAGTAGCTTTTCCAATCAAATCAACAAGCACACACAACACCCGCGGAACACACAGCATCACCTTATCAAAGGAAGTTCAGTTAGAAAACATCCGTAATATGAGAAGTTGATCGCAATCAGAAGATAGAGCCAAGCTCTTCCTATAGTAGGCACTCTTCTCGCTTTAGAAACGTCCGCCCACCGGCTTCGCCGGCTCTACGGGTATATTGTGAACACATTGTTATAGCACAACGCGTTGCAGGTACTGGTTGTTTAGCTCCATATATTCAACGCGTCGCCTTTGCCAATCTTACCTTCGCCACCCACTCAAGCGACAGAAGCGTAGTGGCAACCAGCCATGCTCCCACATGTGGGTATGTGTCAAAATTCAGCCACGAGCGTTCGCGGGTTTTAGTCCTTTCCATTTACCAGGGCGTTACCCATGTTGGGGTTACCCTATTCTTGACCCACACCCGTGAGATCACTTTTCCATCTGGTTGCAAGTGAGAAAGGCACCAAGTAGGAGAAAACACTGAGTACTTTTGGAAAGCCCGCGTTCGGTCAGCCCGGCTCGATCAGTCGGATTTTCCTTGTTCAATGCAGTTCACCAATGGGCCCCACAGGACTGTCAGGTATTGGTGGCAAACCATTTGGAACAGGAATGGGTTGGAGGAACTCACTAGTGTAGGGTTTATCTCAAGATGGTGGACCCCCAAATGGGCAGGCACCTGCAAAATGAGACGCCCAGGTTTATTCTTGGATGCTTTCGGAGAGCTTTGCATCAATGCTGGGATGTGGGCCAATGGTAATCTCACCCATGGAATTCCATTCCCTTTGAAGCAAACCGAACAAGGGCTAAGGAAGCGGAATCTTCTGGGTACTTCACAACACGCAAGTGATGATTTTTGAAACTGAAGCTGGAAGGGACCAACACATGTTCTTCCACAACCCCCCTGTAGCGCCCGGACAACAGCATCACTCCAAAGCACTTCCTTTCATGGCACCTGACAGGGGGTCCCTTCAAGAGCAAGTTGGTCCTCCTAGTATCTACAGGGTCTATTTTGAGCCGGTTTCATTTAGGGTGTTGGATGTTTCGGGGTTTTGACTGACAACCATTCCGCTTGTTTTGCACCCGACCCCCCCAGCCTGTCAACCCCTCAGAACCCTCCACCCTCCCCCCCTTGGACCATAACCAGGGGTCCCTGTATTTCTACGTTTTTTGGGTGATATTCAACATCACCTCTTTAGCCAATGTAAGGTATTTTCCCACAGGACCGATGTTTGGAGAGCAAACATCGCGAACCCAGTGCTTTGCTTCTTTTCGCCAAAGGCAGACAGCCCACAGGTTTTACCACAGATGGTAGAACTCCTGGTTAGATGCCATGGAAATTGGGGTCCACCAGAGGAAGCCTCGAGCTAGGACTAAGTTCATCTTGCCCAGTGATTCCATTTACCGTAACCCAAGGAGCCACCCTTTGCAAACTAAAAGGGTAACGGCCTACTTGCTATATAACCTGCTGCTGCTGCTACTACCCCTTCGTCTACTATTTCTACTACTACTACTACTGCTGCTACTGCTGCTACTGCTGCTACTTACTACTACTAGTACTACCTTTTCTACTACTTCTCCACTACTACTACTACTACTACTACTACTACTACTACTACTACTACTACTACTACTACTACTACTACTACTACTACTACTACTACTACTACTACTACTACTACTACTACTACTACTACTACTACTACTACTACTACTACTACTACTACTACTACTACTACTACTACTACTACTACTACTACTACTACTACTACTACTACTACTACTACTACTACTACTACTACTACTACTTACTTCTATGTCTATTTCTATTTCTAACTAACTAACTAACTAACTAACTAACTAACTAGCTAGCTAGCTAACTAACTAACTAACTAACTAACTAACTAACTAACCAACGAACTAACTAGCTAACGAACTATCTAACTAACTACTCATTAACGAACCAAGTAACTAACTAACTATCTAACAACTAATTACGAACTACTATTACAACAACTACTACTACTACTACTACTACTACTACTACTACTACTACTACTACGATAATTACCACTACAACTACGACTACTACTGCTACTACTACTACTACTACTACTACTACTATCACTACCACGACGACTACTACTACTACTACTACTACTGCTACTACCACCTACCACCAAAACCCACTACCCACCAACCCTCTTTTCCCACCACTATTGCTACCACTACGACTACTACTGCGAACACCACTACGACTACTGCTACTACTAGGATGACTACTGCCACTACTACTACTCCTATTGGTATTGCAACTGCTGCTGCTGCGACTACTACTATTACCAATATTACCACTAGTACCACCACCACCGCTGCTGATCCACTGGGTCCCTGAGTTTTGCTCACTCCTACTGGTAACCGATTTTCCCACTGGTTCCACCGATGATTCATCGACCCTCATGCAAGGCCCCCGCAGCGCCGGCCCCCACCGGTGCCGCCGCCGCCGCCGCCCCCTGCGAGCACGAGCCACGCGCCGAGCCACGCGACGAGCCACGCGCCGAGCCACGAGGAGCCGGCGCCATCGGGGCCCAGAGCCCCAGAATCCGCGGGGACCGGGGTCCAACGCGCAAACGGAAACCAGAGGACTCAGACTCACCTTTCGACAGGATCTTGAGGCTAGTTTTACCGGGGACATTATTTTTTCACGGTTTCTGGGGGTCAAAGTCAGACAATGGGTTGTTTCCCTTTAACCCACCACTGAACGGGGGTGACTTTGATCATGGTAAAATAATGAGGTTAATTTTAGGAGGTGGTTCGGATCTTGGTCTCAGGGTGCTGGAAGCAGTGGTGCTGCCCAAACGAGTGGCCCTTGTTGATCCTCGTTGGGTTTCGAAACCAAAGGTCTGACCACTCGGGTGAAATTGACGGCTGGAGATGGTTTTTTCGGCACATCCAAGGCCAGCATCCAAACGTGAGTCTGAGCCGCTGCGATCTAACACGAACTAGGGGGAAATCCTATTTTGTCTGAGGTTTACCATCCAGTATTTCTTCGGATCAACTTTAGATTTCCACAGTTCAGATTACAGCAAGCAACCAAGCCCTGTCGACCCCCTTGTCAACCAGCTGAAGAATCACGTGGTTTTGACACACCAAAGACGTGGGTCCAACATGCAAACAACCTAGCCAAACTGCATGAGTCGCATGAGTCGACCTCCTCCACTGTCGAGGTAGCTGTTCACCTTAGCCGCCAGAGAAACACATCGGTGTGTCCTTTTTGGGCCTTCCTCTTATTTCCCCTTTAGAAACGTACCCAGAAAGGGAACCATCAAAAGAAGACACACCCGCATGGTCCTGGAAAACGGTTTTTAGGCCATGTTTTGTTGGTAGTCAAGGGAGTCCCCAAACGACAAAGTCACCGGAATCCCGCGTTTAACGGTATCACAACGGCTATTTCCTTTATGTATTGTTTTTGTTTGTTATGGTATACACCTTTTGGGGCTTGGTTGAAAGGGAAACTCATGTGCATTTTTTTCTCGCGTACCCCTTTGGGGGTTGGTTGAAAGGGAACCCAAAAGGAACGCTGAAATCAGGGCGCGGGCTTTTGCTATGACACACACACACGCACACATCAGGTAATTGTTTGGTGGATTGAACTGCTGGCTTGGATTTGGAATTGAATGGGAAAGGTACTTTTGATGTCCAAACCAACCATACACTGCAACACCGCCCCCCCCTTACATTGCAACCCCCCGGGTTGTAATTGGTGGTTTGGATTACACACATCAAGTGATGGTGAGTTGGTGGGTTTGAATTGCTTTGGCTTTGGATTGGAACCCCTGGCTCTTGAACCAACCCCCCTTGCATGGTTGTTGTTGGGAAACATTTGAAACTTTTTGCTTATTGTGGTTTAGTAGTTGAAGTTTAAACCCACTTAACTGCTAAAATCGTTTTTGTTTTGCTTCCCAAACCCAACGTCAACCAAGCTCGAAACACCCTGCCCCGGGAACCCCCCCCCTCCCCGGCTCTTGACCCGGTGAGGTGGGGCACTGGCCCACGGATGCGGCAGTGGGCGTCACAGGACCCGTGGGGTTTTGTGTCCTAGCAGAATCAGTGCCCAAACAGGGCGTGCGGGTGTTTTTTTTATTCTTCTTTTTTTTCTCGGAGTTGGTGCCTTTGTGTTGGCGGTTTTAAAGGGAGGCGAAAAGCAGAACCCACAATGTTGTTTTTTTTTGTTGGTTGGGGGTCCCCTGAAACAAGAACGGACCCATTTTTACCCTTTAACGTAAGCTCCAGAATTTATGACTGCCCCATGGACAATGATGCCCTGCCCCACCCCGAAAAAGCACATTTTGGCTGCAGGTTGGTTAGATCGGTAGCCGTCAACCTTTGGCAGAACACAGGGAGCAGCCACCATCAAAAGACCCCCCTCCCCCCCCCCCCCCACCCCAAAAAACAGGAATGCGGACGCAGGTCCACTCCTGCCGCGTCCATTTTACCGCGGACTGGACTCAAGCGCAGGACAGCAGCGAATCAGACGAGGAGATCGTTCCCTACTGGTAACCCGGCCAGCATTGCAGGTCAGGTGAGCAACAGGTAGGCTTGGTAGGGGACGTCCACCTGCCGAAGAAAAGGCGCCGCTGTCCAAAGCTTTTCATGTTTTGACCCTACGTTTTGGGTAGACTTGTTGAATCCGAGGCGTTGATATTGGACAAGCCACCAGAGTACATGAAGAAGTTAGCAAAGAGTTGCTTTCAGGTTTGATGCAAAGAACTTCCAGCATTGCCATAACTTTCCTGTTCAGCTGGAAATCTATAGCTTGTTCTTTGGTAGGTGACTTCATCATTCAAGCAAATAAGTGAAGAAGCAACATGTTTTCGGCAGGTGTCTTCATTTCCAACGCTAAAGAGCAGAGGCGACATACGGCAACTGAGCCTTGGCAACGGATTTGCCACTCCGCTCTTCGTAGTTGCTGGTAGGGGCATGTTGGCCTTTGCCCGCTGTTGAACTAAAGAAACACTCCCCTACTTTAATATTTGAACTGGAACAGGCCAGCCATGTGCAGAGATACAAAGATACAACGAGTGATTTTGGGTCCTATGATGGGATTTGCAGATGAGTTGGTAGGTTTGGCACTGGCTCTTCTTAGTGGGAATTACTTTGGTTTTTCTTTGATTTTACTTTGGTCCATGACTTTGGTTGATTGACTGCAAGTCATTAGCCGTTTCGATGAACTCGATGTCCGTTGAGGAGACCGCGCAAGATCGCGCCAGGTAGATCATTTTGGCAGAGTCCTCTTAGCATTTGCAGCTGCTCGGTCGCAAGCGGGCAGAATGCCGAGGGAGCGAGGGAGCGAGGGAGCTGGACAGGTGGCCAGAAGTTGACACCTCGGTCATAGGGCTCGAAGGAGCGGTCCGAATCCAACCACCAAAAGGAATTGGACACCCCACTCAAAACCAACCAGAGCCAAGCGCATTTTTTCCTACTTGTTTCATATGTTGAGTGAACGCCTCTGGATTCCGGGGTGGTTTTCCCCAGTCATCTTGCACCCACGCTTTTTGAGGGTGATTCCTCCTTGACCCCTGGTTTTTTCCCTCGATGGTTGGTCTCCCCGACTTGTGGGCCTCGCGAGCGGAGGTTGATCTACTTGCTGATTGGCCATGAGCTACAGGCGGATTGGCCGAGAGCGCCGACAGCGCCGCGCAAGCCGCGGATGCCGCGGGGAGAGGGGAAGGGGAGTGTCTGGTTGGTTGGTTTTGTTGTTCCCCAGATGGGCATGGGTCAAAATTAAGTTCCAGGGGACCGCGGGTTTTAGTCCATGTGTCCATTTGCCAGGGTTCCATTTTGGGTACCTAATTTTGACCCACAGCCAGATAGCTGAAAGCTATGGGGGTTCTAAATTCTAATAAAGAGGGGAAAGTGATGGTTTGTTACTTTGGTTTGATTTGTTTGGCTGAGTGGTTTTGTTTTGCTTTGTTCTGCTTGCTTGTTTCCTGCCAACTTTGAAATCTCAAAGCATGGAAGAGCCGTACCAGAAGCTTGGAGAGGTGCAACAACAAGAGGCTTATATCAATATAATAGAAGGAGTCCGGACTTCTAAGGGTTTTTGTATCACGCCCTGGGATTGCGCCCGCTGGGAAATGACCCCATTAAGGCATATGTCCGGGATAAAGTCATGTTATTTTGGACTATTTTGGGCCATTTCCCAAGGGTGTAATCCCAGGGTGAAATACAACAACCGATAGAGGACTGGCTCATGTTGGGTGGCCAAATGAGGTTTGGAACCTTTTTTGGGGGTGGATTCCTCCGGCGCGCGCACACACACCCACACACCCACATGCACACAGACACAGAGACACACAGCAACGAGGCACACAGACACACACACACAACAAACACACACACAACACACACAGAGCACACACACACACAACCACACACACACAGCACACACACACACGTGCGTGGGGCAGCGGCGTTTGCCCACAACTTTGCGCAAAGCGACATCGAGGTCACCGCATCATAAACATGATGGGCCTCATCAAACATCCAAGGGTCTAAACCCGAAATGCTCCAGAAGTTTCGGGCATTCGGCTGCTGATCCTTGTTGACATACCACTCAATTTCAGGATCTCTGGCCTCAAGGGTTTGCTTGGCGATAGTTCACCAACGGCTGGCAGGTTTAATGCCCACCTTGGATTTTCAATGACCGTTGCATGAAGCAGACTGGGGTTCCTTGTTTGGGTCGGGACATGATCTGCTGTATCCATCATCCTTCCGGATCAGCGCACACCGACATTTTCCCCCTAAGTCCCAAGTGCGACAACCTTCGATGCTGTGTTCACCGGGTTCCCTGTATAAACCCGTTTTGTGGTTTCACCTTCTCACTTTGCCTTTTGCCAAGGCAAAGCGAGTTGCAGTGTTTGGTGGGGGAGTGGCTTGTTCGTTTTCGTTTGGCAGTGGCCGGACACCGAACTTGCAACAACAGCCAGACCTGGTAGTAAACTGGCGAAGCTGAACGAAAAGAGGCTGTGTAAACAAGCCGGAATGCTTTGAGCAAGGTACCGCTGTAGTATGTGACCAGGTATTTTGCGGTTTTACATGTTGGTTTTGCCCGGCTACCTACTACAGTGGTAACTGGCAGAAAGCGCAGGGATTGGTGTTTCAACCGTGGCTCAATCCGGAGATTGGCCAACGACGCTGCCTCAGCCAGGAGTCGCAAAGTGTGGCCGGCCATTGTGTCAACAGCGCCGGGTGCTCAGTGATTGGCTGCATGTATAAAGCCATGTGGCCGTCGGTCAACACCAATGGTACGATTTTGGGGTAGGTGCACCACCCATTTTAGTCTATTTGAGTGGGGATTGGGATGTTCACGGGGGGTACAGGATTTTGACCCATGGCCATGTAAGCTTGTGGGACTCCGTGTTGGACTTTTGTGGCGAACAGTTTGCCACAAGTGAGCCAGACGACACGGATCGATACTTAATCCCCAAAAAGGCAGGCCGGTGTCTCGGTGTCTCCGCTTAGGCGGGTTTCAAGTGGGAACCAGGCGCCCAGTTGAAAATCGTGTTTGTCCTTAGGTTGAGAAGCCCTCAGCCGGGTTTTTCCATGCAGCTGGGCTCGGGGTCATGGGGTCGCCTTTCTGAGGCTTTTCAAAGGCTTCCTTGGCCGAAGGTTTGTGATTTGTTTTCATAGATGGCGGGTCAAAAAGATGTAGCAACATATGGCTCTGGGTGAAAAATGGGTATCCATTTTGGACTGGCATATGGAACCAAAGGCTAAAAGCTGCGGTTTGCCACAGCTACTTAAATGTTGAGCCACACGCACATGTTCTGCGGGTATTCAGGGATAATGATGGTCACTGTGTTCTGTGAGGCGTCCGGAGCGCAATGGCGCAATGGCATTCAACATCTCAGCTGCTTGTGGGGGGGGGGGGGGGCGGTCTTCGAAGTGGGGTAGGAGTGGAGCGGAGTGGCTTGCAATGTCCCCCAGGAATGAGGCAGCATTGGAAAGTTGCTTAGGTTTGCCTCGAGTTCAAGAGTGTGGGCTCTAACTTCGTCAGGAAGTACCTTGCTTCCTTTGGTAGCCCTTAACTAGGATTCGGCGGGAGGTTCAATAGATGCCCCCCCTTTGTGGGCGGCAACGAATAAACCTTTGTCACTCCCTTTTGTTTGGGGGGCCCATTCGGACATGTCGACAAACCGCCAGAATCAAAGGAACGTTTTTGTGGACTCTGACAGAGCCTGTAGATTGAGGAGGGCTTGTTTGCTGCGCGCATCTGGCTCTGGAATCCTGAGGCACATCTTCATCATCGCCATTTGCGGATTTGCGGGCCAATGATTGGGCCGCCCGGTCAGCTTGACCGTACGCCTGGTGAACGAGGATTTTGGCGGTGATTCGATAAGGCGGGGCACGGGGAAAACAAATTCGTCGCCCCCTGCCGGAAGAGCGGCCGGGAGCAAGAGCCACCGCTGATCAGCGGCCGAGAAAAAAAGGTGGGTGCACTGCAGCGGAGGCGGTTCTGATGCCTTGTCCAACACAAAGTTGAAAGCTACGAATGTGGCAAATGTGCTGTTTTTCTTTATGCTGGCTTAAAAACAGCTTGCCCCAAAGTCAAAACGGTACGTGTGAGTTCTGATCAGGTCTGTTCTTCCAGCAAGTCTTGCACCTATTGAAAGGCCCCAGCATAGGTGTCCTTTTTGGTTGTTTTGATCGAAAAATAGATGGCCCTAGTTTACCTGGTGGTTCAATCATCTACCAGGGCCATCTATTGCCCCTAGGGCACCTATGGACCCCAGCGGTAGCCCATGTACCGCTCTTCAACATGCTGGACTTCCGGGGCGGCAACAAGAGCGCCGGCGACCCTCGATTTCCGCCGGCTTTGAACCAGAGGGCAGGCATGTCAAAAACCCAGCCGCCCACTACCCTGTTGCCCAGTGGCGACTGGGCAGGGTTCCCGTTTAAACGCAACCAACCGAAAAAGGATGCCCCTTTTTTCCCATGGCCGCTGGGCATCTGAGACTACAAGCCACCCGCACCAGCACCAGTTGGCCTGGCGACATGCCACAAGAAACCTTCCGCCATTTATGCGGTGGCACCCTTGTTCCTTCCCCGGAATTAGCTCCCCGTGAAGTTTTTGTTTGGCTTTTTTGGGGGTTCCCTTTGTTTTCCACTCACCAGGAAAAACTATATATATATATATATATTTGTGCAGGGGTCCTAATTCCAGCCAAGGTTCCTGCTATTGTCGTTTTCCATTTTTGTTCTCCCCTGATAGGTTGCCCACTAAGAATCCAGGGCGTCGCACCTCAGTTGCCACTTTGCGTGCGTTGCTCTTCACCACACAGAGCACAAGTCATCAACTACCACAACCCTTTGGTGCCTAGATGTTTTCTGGATGCTATATCTCCACCTTCACGCCCTGCTTGGAAGGCTTAGCGCGTCCCGCTGCAGTTTTCTATCCTTTCAGTGCCTTTGTTTTGAGCCAACACCGGGCAGTTGGGTTTCATTCAGTGTGGTGAATGATGCAGCTCCAAATGTCCTAAGGGCAGCTCAAGTGTAAAGGCTTGAACCATTGAACTTAATTTGACCTTGGATTGAGTTTTTCATGGGCCGTGTTTCTTAATCCCTTTCCCTTTCAATAATGGACCCTATTAATAAACACTATTGTCCAGACTGGCTGAAAAAGCCGTGTCCCCAACACCACTTTGAGAAGAGCCCAATACTAAACTGTCCGATGTCTCCACCCAGACCAGGTCTTGGGCTGCCTGGCCTGCCTCCCTCAAGCCAAATTTAAACAAATCCAAGGATCGTGGAATCCGAGTCTTCATCAAACCCAGGCCGCAGCTTTAACTCATCTCTTTGTAAGGCTTGCCTTGCCTTTGAAAGGTCGTACACAAATGCATGTGGGCCGTGGCCTTGTCACGTTGATCTGCTTCCGCCACGCCAGGAGATGTGGACGCTCATCCCTTAGTTAATCTATTCCCCCCTAAAAACACACGCGGACCCCCCCCCCTTATAATAAATACTCTCCGGGCGGCAAACCATATTCATTCACAGGGTCTCTTGGGGTCAGCTGGGCTCTGGAGACAAAGATACTCATCCCTTGAACCGGATAGGCAAGGTAGGCTGCGTGTCTTTTGGCTCCACCATCCAATTCAGCCACCCAGATTTGTTTATCGGGCAGATGCCAGGGGTTAAAACGGCTCCACACAACCCTTGTTGGAGTCCAGAATCCGTGCTTATCCCGCGTTCGGCTCAAGAGCACGGCCGTCATGTGACTCCATCGTCATGCGCTGAGCTTAGCTTTGGGGCAACAGGACTGCCTTGGTGCTGGCTTCGACCGGACCATTTCCCAGTGCTTCCCTTCGGCGTTTCGCCACAAAAGACATCAGAGTCAACATGGCTATTCAGTTAGAATGGGAGTGTGGGGCGCGTACAAACCAAAGCAAGCCATATGCTCATACATTAACGTGAGTTCTAACTCAGGCCGTTGAATATAACTTGTTGAACGACGTGAAACCCACACGCCGGGTCGCAACACGTGGACAACTCGCCGGCGAATCAACGACCTCTTTCGCCGGCCTTTTCTTTGGCTAAGGGTTGGACTGGGCCGTTCATGGCTTGTGAAAGCGGGGCCCCCCTTTCGGCATCCCCTTTCAATGGGGTGTGTATGTGTCTTTTTGAGGATCCGCCGTCCTTTTTGTGGTTTAAAAAGGGAAACCAAGAGGAACACCGACGCAATTTACCTTTTTGTTTATTTAGAGGGGGGGTGGTCCCCTAAAAGCACATACACACCCATAGATATGTTTGTTTTTCACCAATGCTGAACGTGTTCTTCTTTTCTTCCAGGTGTGGTTTGATGATGTGTGTCTTAGGCCTGTAAAGTAAAGCACATGTCATCCTATCATGGCGGTCGTCAAAAATATGGCCGGTTCCTTTAAAGAGAGCCTCCGCAAGCCGCCAAAGGTTTTTGATTTTTTAGGTTTTTCATTTTCAGGGCACCCCCCAAAATGGCGAAACGGTGCTCTTTTTGGTTTCCCTCCCAGCCCAGACAGGGCACTGTGGGGAAGCCCTGAAACGAGGCTGGTGGACATAAATCCCCACCTAAATGATGTCCACCAAAGGGTCCCTGATTAAAATTCATACCCATATCGCGAAAAAACGTTCACCAAACCAGCAAGTCCTAACCCCATGAGAACTGGAGCGTTTCGCCCGGAGGTGCTGACGGGTGCGGACGCCTCGAGTCAGGAGGGGAGGTGGTTCAGGAGGGTTTCTGTGGTAAATCTGTGCGGCGTCTTTTCCTTTTCTTAGCTCACCCCCGATGAATTCCTGGACTTTGTTTTGCGGATGACCATTTAGTGGTGAACTACAAGTTCGGACTTTGTTATTGGCCCATCCACTCAGGAAGCAAGTTAAATGTTGCTTGGCATTGTGTTTTGTTCTTGTTGCTTTTCTTGCTCAGGTTTATGTTGAAGATGTACACTGTTGGCCTCGTTTATTGTTCTCGCGATGTTCTGCAAAGCTGTCGTTGTTTCCTTGTGATGTCAAGGCTCACGTTGGATTTATTCTACTGTCTACGCCTAATCGTATGTGTTAATGTCGTATTTTTGCAAGCCTCCTTGTGGTAAGTGGGCACCACACAGAAGATGAGAATTGTTTGTCGACCAAGAGCCAAGGACAGAGAGACATATTTGCAGATTCATGTAAGCAGCTCGCGGCCACTTCGCCTGGGCGAAATTTGTCCTCGAAGGTATGGAGCCAGCGAGCCTGAAACACGAGCGGCTTTCACAATTTCACACCATAGAACATGGGTCCATCCATTTGTTTTAGGACACCCCCAGAACCAGAACCGATTTCCAGCAAGTTCTCGCTTTTTTTTGGAGTCGAGGGTCCCTAAAATTTGTTGCATGTGTTTTGTTCAGGAAGTTTGAAGGAAGCTAGTCTCCCAATTTGTTTGACCCCAGATTTTCAGAAAGACCTGGTTGATGAACTGGACCTTTTAGTCCACCCTGCAATCAAGCGGTGGTGCCGTTTTGGTCCCCAGATGATGCTCAAGTTTGGGGCCATGGGGAAGCAGACCCAAATGGTTGTGGGTCAAAACCCCGTACCCCCAGTGAACATCCCAATCCCCACTAAAACAGACTAAAATGGGTGGTGCACCTACCCCAAAACGGTACCATTGGTGTTGACCCACGGCCAAATGTCAGTAGCCAGGTGACGAAATTTCCCCAGAGAGGAAGCAATGTCTTTTTGACTGTGGCTCATATCCTGCTGAAATGGCCCATTTTCACAGTTCTTGATGTACCCAAAGGGAACCCAAGCCCAAGAGTGACTTTTCCACCCTATGTCTCAGTTCCTAAGAACAAGTTCGGAAAGACACGATTCCCTTGCAACCTGAGCAGTTTGACCAACAAGTGTGGAGATGTGGTTGTTCCGCCAGAGTTTTTGTTTGTTTGTTGAAACATGGACCTTGTCTTCGGCGGCTGTTTTTTTTTTGTATTTTGATTGCTTGAATTCCGGGTATCTTTTGCACTGTATTTCATCTTAGGTGAGCAATTAATCCATATCTTCGGCCCAGCCAAACGTTTGGCGCGGAGGATGCGGGCCTCGCACTCGGCGGCGGCCTTGATCCTTGGGGGCTGCAACCCGGAGCTGCCGGGGAGCCCAAAACGCCAGCGACGCGCGCGGAGCTCGACGAGTGGTTTGTGGCGGGTTGGGTTGGCGGTTGGTGGTTGGAGGCCTCTCCAAAAAGAGATTTCTCGGTTTTCCTGAACTAATTCTCCCTTTAGCCACGAAAAGTGGAGGACTCTCAACCAAAAAGACACCCGGGCCCCTTATTTTGCAAAAAATACAAGAAAGGTACAACAAGAAGACGCCCATGACAGTTGTCCTTGCGGTTTCCCTTTGAAAGCCACAGTCACACAAAAGCGTTCCCTTAGCGAAATAAAGACCAATACCTTGGCTAATTCGGGATTCGGGATTTACAGAGATTCTTAGATGCCGCGATGTCTTCTTGAATAGCTGCATGGTCTTTTTGATTCCCCTCATGATGGCACGGATGGACGGGGGAGTTATGACCCCACTTCCGTCGACGTGTCCACCGCCCTGAGTGTTCGAAAGGAACCCGAAAAGGGCCTCAGATGGCTTGAAGTATCTTTTTGATGCCCTTATTGTTGTGGTTTGACTGAAAACCAACGGAGAAACCAGTCATCTTGCGGTGCTCAGCCGGGAATGAGGGAATGAACCGTTTGGGGATTCCCTTAAGCCATAGGAAATAGATGGTTTATTTCGGGGTCATTCCATTTCTCATTCCCTGCATCTCTCGCACCAGGTCCCCAGCAAGTGATTTTGTGGATCCCCCAGCTGGACGCTCGACTCAGCGCTCGACTCAAGGGTGGGCACCAGCCGCCTGAAGACTGCGTCGCTGAACGGGCTTCAGACCCTCACCAGGCCCAGGCGCGAGTTGTGGCGAGGTCTCTCGGGGTCTCGAGGGGATCGAGCCCCGGGCGGCATGCGATTGGTTTCCCTGGCAAACCGCGTAAACAATGGGGTACCCTCCCACCAGCTAACATGGAAGTACAGAGGCCTCTGTAGAAAGACGGCTTTCCTCTTGGAAAGGGATTCCATGTTAGTTGGTGGGAGGACACAAAGCTCCAACTCGTATTTCAGGCCTCATTTGGGGAGAATCACGCCCCCTGGATTGTGAGTGCCTGGTTCCGATACACACTTGCACGCACCGAAGATCCCAGAACTAGCCCAGCCGATGCTGTGACACACTCACACATCCTCGCACAATTGTTTCAGCAACTCACAGAACAAAACTCATGTCTTGTTCCCAACTCCTGCAGGCTCTGACCATGAATCCATTCTTCACACGGGCTACAACTTGGGGGAAGCAACGCATGTGTGCGAGAAGCTGTAACAGGATCTGGCCTTGCATGTTACATGATTGAACCACTCGTATTCAAAGAGGTTCTCTGAGTGGAGCCAGGGATTGATAGCGGCGTCTGCCTGGGTTGGGTTTGCCAAACCAGTCACTTGTACCACTGTATCCCATTTGCGGTTGCTTTTTAAGCCGATTACCCCGCAACCAAACCAAGCAATTCCCTTTTCCCTTATTTCAAGCCATTTCAAAGAGAAGCCAAGGGCCTTGCACCAGTATTTTTTTCAGGAGCTACCCCGCGACCCCCCCCCCCCGCCCCATTGCTCCGGGCCTTCTCCGCGCGAGCTTCGCCTTCGCGAGAGGTCGGCCGGACGGCTCATCACTCCGCGGAAGGAGCTGAGCAGCTGGGGCAGCAGTCAGGTAGTCAGGTGACGCTGGCTGAAACTGTTGGTCCTCCAGGGGCCCTTTTACCAACCCTTACGAAGTTCGTTTCGAGGTGCCCCCTACTAAAATAGACTACAGAAAAATGTGGGTAGCCTTATTCTAAACTCTCTACTGGAGGACTGAACCTCGGGTTGGGCAACTGGTTTCAGCAATCAAGCCCTGTGGTCCAGGGTGAACAGTTGAAGCATAGTGGCTTTGACATGGGGTGGTTAATGTAGTGTGTTGTATTGATGTTGGATGAGTTTGGGCCTGCGAAAGCTGTTTCAGGGGCCCTAATAAGGAAACCAAAGGGATGGTTTGGCCAGCAGTGGTTGAATCAACCATTCACTGAATTCTGAACCCTGAGCTGGAGGGGGGCAAGCAGGGGCGGGGCAGAAAGACATGCGGTCTTTGAAGCTCTCCTGCAAACTGACATGGAAGTCAGGCAACAGCCTTGTTTGCCAATCATAGACTTTATTTGCTCCAGGTGCTATGATTGGTTCTAGAGAAACCCTGGCCATGACTTCGAATGAGTATGATAGTTGTAGATGGAATGAATTGTGGGAAATGAGTTGCTTCGGTATTTCCATATCTTGGGTAAAAATCAAAATCCCACTAAATGGTTTCACAGAAAGCTTTGCTTTCCAAGAATCCTCGAACGGAGAAAACAAAAACAAAAGGTGATGGGTTTTGCGTCCTTTCAAAAGTGCACTTGCGTCCGCTGATGGAGCAAGGCGCCTTTCGGATTGTCGCCTGGCCAAGTCAGCTCTGATGGAAACCCTAACCTTCCGCATAGTGGGCGGCCGGACTACCACCCCTGGTTTTTGGTAGACTCTCGTGAGGCTTGCTATAGTCAGCAACAGGCGCACACGCAAAGAGCGAGGGCCGCGCGTTTTCCTTGACGCTGGACGTCGTCTTTGGCGGTTGTGACACCTCGCTGGGCCCAGTTTCGGTCCACCAGCAACGGTCGAATTGAGCGTCCAGCCAAATTTCAACCACAACTTGGGGCACAAGGGCACAGGCCCCCCCCCAACTTTTTCGTGGTCGTGGGTCGCCCAAAACAAGGGAAAGGCGTCTCAATTTTGGGTCACCCTCCCCAAAATGGTTGGTTTCCCCGACATCTTCCCAGTGAGCAAACGCAAGCAACCCCCTCCAGACAGACCCCCGCCCCCCCAACAAGACACGCTGGTTGGTCTTCCGCGTGTCTTCGTCAAAAAACTCACCAAGCCACCACCCCCCGGTTCTCGGGGGGGGACTTGAGCGGGTGCGCGCCGCACGTGAAGCTAGGCGTGGGCCTGAAGCCGCGGACGCTGGTGAAGCTGGAGTTCCACTTCTCCGCCCGCGGCCCTTCCCTCGAGCTGGAAGAGGGGGGTGGGGGAGTGGAGGGTTGGGGGAGGGTTGGGGGGGGGTTGGGGGGGGGTTGGGGGAGGGGGGGGGGGGGGGCTTGGGGGGGTTGCGGGAGGGGGGGGGGTTGGGGAGAGGGTTGGATGCGCTCTTAGGTTTGGTTGATCGAGGTGTTGGCTTGTTCAGTGGGTGGTTCGCGTTCTTTCTTATTATTATTGTGACTAAGCTTTCTTGGGTCTTGACTGGGGGAAGAAACTGTCAACTGTGTTCTGCACGTGAAGCAGGACGCTAGCGAGAAGCCACCCTTGTTGAAGGTTCCATATCCCACTCGGAGATTCCCCCCTTTTCTTGTGAACGCTGACCCCCCAAGAACAAGGACAGCGGTACTTGGCTGGTGGAGTTGAGGGCTTGGACCACATGGACCACCCAGAACTTTCGAGACCTTAAGGACAAATCTATGGATGCATGCCCTTAACGTGTTGGCTATTTGGGTTGGACCTTGGAGCTTTAACTTTTTGGTTGACACAGTGGGATGTTACGTTGGATCCACAACAAGTTAAACTTTTGCAGAGGGTCAACAGCAACCAAGTAAAAGTGGAAGTTGATTCCTCTTGAAGGTGGGAAAAGCTCAAATTGGTCAACCAGCGAGGCGGTAAACGAGCAGTATTGTTGCTCACTTTTCATATCTTTACAGTGGCTTGGTACCCAAAACTCCAAAACTGGACCAGTGATTCCAGTATAGCTATAGCCCGCAAACCACTGGAACCACCCAATTGAAATCAAAAGGGGAAGGAACTCGTGGTGGTTGCCTTTGGTATTCTGGTAACTGGGATCCGCAGGAGGCTTCACCCCTTTTTGCTGGTAGAGGGTTCATGTGCATAGGTGTCTCTTTTTTGGTTGTTTTGCTAGAAAAATAGATGGCGATTCCTGGTTTACCTGGTGGATCCTGGTGGTTTAATCATCTACCAAGGCCATCTACCAGGGCCATCTATATCCCCTAAAAGGACACCTATGTTCATGTGGGTCACTTCCAATCCTCTTTTTGGGGTCACTTCCGATCCTCCCCTGGGTCACGTACCTTTCGGGTCGCTTCCCTTGTAGTCTTTTGGCATACTAGGTCCCCCAGTAGTGCCTCACCCCTTTTTTGGTTGGGAGGGTTCCCCTACTAAAACCGACTACCGAAAAAAAGAAACGGTGCCAACTTATTCTAACCTCTCAAATCTGGAGGACCTAGACAATCAACCCCTACGAATAACGGGGGTGGTCCCCTCCAAAAGTGGTCTGATTTTTTACTACACCCAGACATGGACGCCCGCCAATTCCAGGAATCGCCAGATCGAAAACCCGAGAAACAAAATATGAGGCCATGGCATGGAGTTCCAGAACCTCATCGTCAGCAACGCCAAGGGCCAGGCCAAGGACCTGGGCGCCGGGAGCCCGGAGCGACTGCGGGTGAGGGTTTCGGGGGGGGTGGCGGGGTAGGGGGGAGGTGCTTGGGCTGGAGAGTGGGGGGGAGTGGGGGGAGTGGAGAGGGGGGGGAGTGGAGAGGTGGGGGGAGTGGAGAGGTGGGGGGGAGGGGGAGTGGGGGGTTTAGGGACCTTTGGGTGGGGGGGGGGGTTGTGCTTTTGGGTTGGAGGGGTAGGTAAAACCGGAGCAGGGTGAACTCCCTGACGGATGACCAGAATAAAACCCCGAGATTCAGCAACAGTCTTTTCCATGTGTCTGCGCCGGACCCACGCAAATGCGGGGGTCACTATGACTATGGACCTTTCTTTCTCCGAACCACCGGCTGACTTGGAAGTTACCTTTTGACTCCAGAGGCCTCTTCTCAGAACCCGAGCTGTTGCCCCCGTGTTTGTTCATTGTGGCTTACCCCCGACCCGGATTGCCTCAAAACGGGGGAATTGTCTCGCCCCGAGCCGCTGGGATTTTCCGAGCCTTTTTGCTGTGCCGATGGCTGCGGTCCGGCGGAGCTTCAGCGACGAGTCTACCAGCTATCAGACGGCTCAGTTTAGACCTTTGTAGAGGACATGGTTGTTCTTGGGAACATTGGAAACATTTTTGCTTATTGTGGTTTAGTGGTGGAAATCCTCACTTAGCTGCTAAAATTTGTGCTTTTTTCTCCCCTTCCAACGTCAACCAAGATGAGGGAGTTGGCTATTGAGCCGGCTCCTTGTTCAAGGAGAATCACGGGGCAACTACAAGTGCCTTAGCCACGTGGGAAGCTCTTTGGGAAGAATTGGGAAGGCTTCCTGGACTTTCTAGTGGCAAGCAACAAGTTGTTCTGTTTTCGGAATCCGTCTGAGCGTTGGATTTCGCACCTGGCGACGGTTGTCTATATACAAAAATGTATATATATATATATATACACATATGTGATGAACGTATCACCACCAGGACCAATGTTGATTATGTGTTGGTTTGGCAGGGCGATTTTTGAGTTCGGGGCATGGCTGGGACTGGGACCCATTTCCGTTCCTTCACCGCATTGGAGTTAAGTGCGATCTGAGGTCCAAATCGGCTGGAGGATCTACATGGTGGATGGCGATGTCATGAACAGCGGCACACAGGCGAAAGAGTTGTTTTTTCATTTTTTTCGGAGTTGCCAGAGTCAGGTTATGCAAGCTGATGGAAGAGTTCGTTTGGTTTTCCCGGCCTTCGGAAGCCTCCCTGAAAGCTGGCCTGTATCGACGCCAAAAATTTGCCGACTGATTGCCCTGCCTCCAATCAAATAGAAGCTGCTCGGAGGGTTTTAAAGAAGACTTTCCTTTTGGGACCCTTTGTCCATGTCCATTGGAAAGAGGGTCCACCGGAGCCTTTGACCGTTTGGATGCTTGGTCAAAAAAGGGGACGCCCAAAGTGACCGTTTTTTTTTGGTTGGATTTCCTGCATGATGAGACACAAAGCAGCCAAAGCTCGCTTTGTTCGGCTTCTTGATTGCTTGGAGTCGTTCCAAGACTCTTTGGGCGGTGCAGATGGATTTAAAGAGACGTGTTCTCAAAATGGTGGACCCTTTTTGGTTGGTATTCAAGGGAAACCCAAAGGAAGCCAGCGATGTTGGGGGACCGATTCTTATTTTGAGAAACCCCAGATGGCATGAATGAGTTGGGGAAGGCCCTCAGTATTTTGTGGAAGGGGGCTTAATTGCAACAAGGGACTTTTCGACTCATACATTTTCTCCCACTCCCCAACCTTTTCCCAAGGTGAGGATGGTTGTGGGAAGCTGAGTTCATTTCTTTGAAGGACCTTGGATTCTGCACATGGATAGCATCTTGAGGGAAGCTCGATGTGTGTTGCTCGGTTCAGCAGTTCGGATCTGAGCAACCGGCTCGCTCTCCTTCCGTGGAGCCCCCGAAGCGAAACGATTCCATCAGAGGGGTGGGTCTCCATGTTTGCCTGGGTCAGTCGAATGTTCCCCTGTCGGTGTTTAAACTATGTGGTAGCGGGTAGATGTGAGTTATTATTAGTATGATTATTCTTATTATTATTATTAGTAGTAGTACTCTTATTATTATTATTCTTATTATTATTATTATTACTATTATTATTATTATTATTATTATTATTGTTGTTTTGGTGTGTTTCCATATTTGGTTGTGAAAGCCAGTGGCTAGGCGTCTGTGCCGCGTGTGTCTCGGGCGACTGGACGCCGCAGGTGTGGCAAAAGCTCCAAGATGCCCAGTGGCAATGGAGGACCGGCGAGCGCCTGGCGCATCAATTTTTCCGGGTCCCGGTGCTTCCAACATGTTGGCAACGTTGGGGGTTGGTGGGAAGGGTGGGGACTTTGAAAGGAAGGTCTACACGAATCCACGGAATGTCAGCGGCTCCCACTTTGCAATCGTAGTTGTTTGTGTCAGAAAGCGGCGGAGTGCCCCTGTTCAAAGTGAGGTTCGGAATGCCCTGCGCCTATGGGGGGCAGCCAGTTGCCTAGTGGCTGCGGCTCTTTTTCCTTTTTGCTCATTCCCACACTGGTTGTGTGGCTTTCCGCTTCCTGCCCCCTGGTGTCTAGTGGGTATTCCAACTAGAAATCAACAATCCCAAAACAGAAATCTACCCTTTTTGTAGTGGGGAACTGGGACGTCTTCCCTTTTGCTAGTGGAAATCTACCCTTTTTCTACCGAATGGGACACTTGACTGGCGATAGGACCGTCACCGTGGTCTTCTTTACGGACTATAGGCGCGGAGACAAGATCGGCGCTGGGATCTTTGGCCAAATTTAGCTCACCAATCAACCCCTCCTATTCACTATTGGGGTGGTCCCCTCCAAAAGTGGTCTGAATCTGCACTAAACCCAGAAATGGACGCCCCCCTATTCACAAACTGGGGTTTATTAATCCGGGGTCAACGTTAAGGCGAACTCATCCATTGTGGAGTTCATTTGTGTGGTGGTTTCCTGTATGTCCAGTTAGGGAATAATTTTGTAATTTGCCAGATTGAGGTAGGATAGTTGCAATCTATGTCAGACATACATTCAGCCATAGTCGAAACCATTGAAACACACATCCCATTCAGATGTATTGACACCATGTTGCCTAGCAACCCCTTTGTTGTGCACCTTGACAACCCTTCAACCCGCAGATGTGTTGATACCGTGCTTACCCCCTCAGATGCCAAGACAACCCCCCCGGCTGTCCGCTAGGTCTAAGACGTTGTCCACTACCCCCAAACCACGACTTGGAAAAATTGGGGGTATCTTCCCATATCTTCCCATTCTATAGTGCTGGGTGAATCATAACGACCTCACACGACCGAATTCACCCCAGATGGTGGTTTATGTAGGGGAATAGCCCCCAAACCACCGAACATTTCAGGCCGGCGAAATCTCACAATTCACCCACAGTGGCGTTTTTCCACCCGTGGCGGTGGTCTTTTTTTCTGGAAACCGACCAGGGCCATCCGCATGGAAGAGAAGATCAAGGAAGAGGAGGAGGAGCGACGGGAGGCCTCCGGACGACGAAATCGCCGTTTCGAGGTCGCCGGGGCCATGCCCCCAACGATTAGTGCCCGACCTCTCACCCGTTTCATTTTGGTTGGGAGGGTGCCCCTAGAAAAAAAGGCTACTGAAAAAAAAGGAAAAACACGGTACCCTTATTCTAGCCTGTCTTCTGGAGGACCTAGAAGAGATTGTGAACCAAACATGATAAAGCACGAGTTGATTTGTTTGCCCGGGTGAAGAACAGTAAATATGCTGTAAAAGTCATTTGCTGTACAGGGATGACACGGGCCACACAAAAACACATGCCAAATTGCGATTCACAAATGGTGATGACTCACCTTTAGGGGCCACAATGAATACTGGTGGGAGTTGCAGAATCTTGCTAAAACAGCGCTGTCAAACTTCAAAAGTCGCACCACAGCGCTTACCTTCGCTAGTAGCGCGTGTTGCATGCCAATGAGTCCGGTCGCAGATGGCCGTGTTCCAACAAAACAAGAGAGGTTGTTGGCGTTTCCAGCAGGGCTAGGAACCACTTCAGAAATGGTTGTTTCAATCATAGATCAATTAGGTGAGCCTCTGACAAGCAATCATGCTTAAATGAGCTTTAAGGCTGTTCTTTTCCCTTGCTCTATTATTCCTTTGTCACTAAAACTGAGTCACGAGCAGATTCCGCTGCCGCTTTGCAGGGCCATCTTGGACAAGGTGCTCCGAATCTGAAAAATAGTCAACGGCCACGGGTAGAGAATTGGTATAGGTCAACGTCTGGTACCATCTTTGACTAGAACGATGGTGGCGGAGATTTAAATGCAAGATTTCGGGTTGAACGTTTGCCAGGTATTGGGTCCTGTTGTGTTCCTTAGGCCATTCTGATCCAGGGCGAATGGGAGCTCCCACTTCTGAGCCCAAGTGAGTTGGTCCCATTCTGTATGGGCAAAGTTGCCCCAAAATGTCGGGATCTGTCGGGGTCGCCCGCGCTTGAATGGGCGCTTGAATCGAGTGCGAGGCAAGTATGCCATTGGCATTGTTGATCCTGTGAGAGGGTAGCCAAACGAAACGATACCACGCATTTGAAACAATCAAACTCCATTTTGAGACGCCCAAATGGTCTTTTGGACAACACAAAAGCATGGGTGACGCGCCCAACATCGCCCGACTATGCTCATGAGTAACCTTCTTGGGGCATCAAAAGGAAACCAAGCATCAGGGGTCCATATCCTGCCTCAAGAAGCATATTTCATGACCCAATGGTCTGTCAAGAAGGGGTGCTGCACCAAGAAGGCGAGACAATGTCTCACTCAGCTCCTGAGATTGGCCCAGAAAGTGCCGAACTTCTTGTTTGCCACTCTGGTCCCAAGCCCAAACAGAGTTACAACTCAAAGCAGCCAGAACCCCAAAAAGGTTATGACTCAAAGCAGCCAGGCACTCGTGGAGCCAAGCCCAACTGTCCCGTGTCGATGTTTTTGTCCGCGAGACTTGGATTGCAGGCCGAGCGCTTGGCGAAGCTGCCGTTCTCCAGCACCTCGGACGAGAAGCACCTGGAGCAACTCAAGCAGGAGCCGGGCGGGCCGGGCAGGCGGGCCTCACGGAGGTAGTATCAAATATCTGCCTGGAGTCTCCATGACCCTTTAAAAATGGGTCAATGACCCCAAAATTTTGGGTATTGACCTCATTTTTCAAGGGTCATGGAGACTCTAGGTGTTTAATTATTTAAAAATCCGTGTGTTTAAATGTGGGCGCAGAAGCCCACGAACCGCGCGGAAACTCGCTGAGATTCGGCTCACGGCGGCAGCGACTCTGGGACCGCAGTACCCTCGGTTTGGCCGTGTTGACGGGATGCACTGTCGCGGTTACTCCACTTGAGAAGGTCTGAAAATGCACAGTGCGCAAGGGCAAATATTGGTTTCACACTGTGTCGGGTTCGGTTGGGCCATATATGCATCAATGGCTGTTGCAATTGAGTTTTGCCATGGCATGGCTTGCGTTTATATGTGGAAAGCCAAGTTTCACGTCTCCGCCCACTGGAATGATATAATTTGTGCGTTGCGTGGACAGTGGCGCACCTTGGGGTGACTTTCTCTGGTGTGCGGTGTGCCCCGTAGACCATGCGGGAGCCCCGTAAAAACCCCACCGGCTTTGTTCGGGAAGCCAAAAAACTCCTAGCGAGTCTTTGGAGGGAACCCCGGGTTTCTGGACTTTGGTCATTTTGGAGGACCAGTCAGAGTGGCGAACAAAAAAGGTTGAGGATCGTCACCTCTGGATACATGAAGGCGCCCCACATGCAGAAGTGACAGGTTCTCATCGTTTCAGAAAACGGATGACGTTGAACCAATTGCCCCGATAGAGGGCGTCGAAGAATCACGGAGATTGCCGAAGTCGTTTGGCTAAAAGCTTCTTAGTTGCAAACCATATATCTAGGCTGGAATTAAGACCCCAGCCAAAAAATATACCTAGAGTCTCCATGACCCTTGAAAAATGGTTGGTCAACGACCCCAACATGATTGACTCCCATTTTCTATTTCGGGTCATGGTCCATGACTCCAGGTAGGTTTCACCATAGTCATGCACCTGGTATCCGCGCACCATTTTTATGCAAAAAAGATGTTTGCAAACCATTTTTCTAGTTGGAATTAAGACCCCTGCAAAAAACACATCTTTTTTGCCTGCAGGTTCCCGACCCCCGAGCCTCGCATCAGGAGTTCGTCTTCCAGGGCTACATCGACCGAGTGGAGGCGAGGGAGCCGAGACTGCGACGTCGAACCCGAGGGTTTCCGAGAAGGGGGTCGAACAAAGAAACCTTCGCAGGGTTGTGGGATCACTCGGGGTTCATTCCCACTTCTGTGATACAAGGGAATCTCCCCCTTGATACGGGGTTTCGTCTTTGAGAAGCCCTTTCTGTTGTATCGCAGAAGTGGATTCCATTTCCCACAGCCCAGGGGCCTAAACCGTGTGTTCAACAGGCTATCCATTGAAAAGGGCATCTCTTTGGGTGAGTTTGCTCTTCTTCTTTTTGTCTGGGTGTGTTTTTCCTCGTGTTTCCATCCCTTTTTGGGTGTCCCCCCTTTAAAAAAAAAAACTAAAAAAAACATGTCCCCGGTTTTCCGAGAGCCATCCCCGGCAAGGACCGCGTGTTTGGCCAGGACCGCAGCACCACCCTGCAGCAGCTGCTGAGAGTCGTGGAGTTCAGCAAGGCGAACGGGGACCCGTAGATGTCGGGTACCGGTCCAACCAGAGGTCGGCTACGGGCTAACTTTCCTCTTTGGCTGGTCAAAATGTTCAACCAACAGGGTGACTACAGGTTTTAATTAGTCCTTTCCATTTACCAGGGCAAGCCATTTTGGGGTTCCCATATTTTTGACCCACCCCCATGGTGACTCGTCTTTCTTGGAGCTGCTACCCTTTGCCTGGTGTATTTTAAAGCGACACCCTCCCGTGTGTGTGGGGTCCACGGTCCAACCCCCTCCCCATGTGGAGACAAATCCATGTCTCCACAGCGCCTGGGCGCATGAGTTTCCCGGTGAGGTTTTTCAAGGGGAGCAGGGAACCTCCCAAACCGGCCTCATAAGCCTTTTGCCGGGCATGCGAACAGAGATCCAGAAGTTTGTTCCGATCCCGGGCCGTGGTGAAACCTAGTGCTTAGTAGAAGTTGCTTTCTTTGGGGTCATTCCTGTACTTCACTGTTCTTCTGTTTTTGGTTTGTGGTTTGAAAGTATCAGTGCCTGACCTCACTTGTCCAAAGTTCAAAGCCGACCTGTTTGGCCTGCGTTAGTCAAGGTTGCAAAAGATTCACTTTTTTTGTCAGGCCCTTTGGGCCAGTGAGATACAGGCAGCTGCTATACTGTTCAGCTACGGCGTCAGCATAGAGTGCAAATGCTGAGAGATAAACAAGAAATCGAAGGGTTACCGTTCCGTGGCGAAACACCTGGAAGCACTGGGAAAGTTATACCCAGTTCCCCAGTGGCCCAGTTGTTCAATGTCCGATCTTGTGTGCTGCCAATTCATTGTTCCGTTTCCACTCTGAGCTAGGATTCGGATGGGAATTTGATGGGGCGAAAGACTTGCACGCAAGACTATCTTGTGATCATGACATTATAGTTTTGAATTGCACAGCTTGTCTCTCTTCCTGAGTTCCTGGTCTTGACACTTTTTGGAAGACCATTGTAGTGGTAAAAACGAGAAGTTTGGACTTGTTGTTGGCCAATTTGCTCAGAAAGTGAGTTGCAGGGTTTGGGTATGCCTTCCGAATCCCTCCGGAGAAGCCTGACATCAGTTCGAAGAGGGCCAATCCACTGCCATTTGGGTATGGGTAAACCACCATAAAGCTGCGGGTTGTCGTCCATTTTCCATTTACCGAGGTTCCATTAAATTTGGGGTTCTCTGTTTTTGACCCACAGCCATTCTGCCATTCCAGCCACGCCCGGCTGCAAGCCGCTGGCCCCTCCAATCCGAAGACTTGATCGCCGCGATGTCCTCGGAGTGGCAAGACGTGGATGCCGTGGCCAAGATGCGGCAGGTGCAGGACTGGCTGGACAGCAAGGGCCTGGGGAAGTGTCTCGGCACTTCGGTTTCCGGCCCAAGAAAAAAAAACATGTGAACCAAAGAACCGCACAAGAATCCTGTGAACCGGAAGTTGTGATCTAAGAACTCGCCGTTGAACAAGTCATATTTCGCCTTCGAGCCTGTTGGGGATGTGTCGTAATGACTCTTTGCTTGCCGTCACTTGGACCAACCGAGGTATGGCGAGAAGATTGTAGAGGTGACTGAGGCGCGCGGGGTTTGGAGACCGGGTTTGGAACCGAAAGGTCGGCTTCATTGGCTGGAGCCATGAGGGGAGCGGTGTTGCGGGTTTTGGATGGTTTTGGCCAAGTGGGAACTGCCAGCAGAAAGGTGAAGCCAATTCGGTTGCGCAACTTCTGGCTCTCTTGGTCAATCATCCAGTTGGAGTACCCTCTTCAACAGGCTTCCACGCCCTCTGAGGGTCAACTCGATTTCGACTCGTTGGGCCATGGTTGTTGTTGGGAAACATGTTACATGTTTGCTTGGCGTGGTTTAGTGGAAATCCCCCACATAACTGCTAAAATTGATTGATTTTTGCTCCCGTCAACCAAGGGGTGAGTCGAAAGATGAGAAAGAAAAAAGCACGCATCTTAAGCCATTGGGCTCCAGTGTCTCAGGCCAACAGTGCGCTTGGCGCACCTTAGGGAGGAAGAGCTCCATGCGTGTGGTCCAGTGGGTCTCGAAAAGGAATGATTTGAAGCTTGGGACCAACATAAATATGAGTCGAAATTTTCCACCAGGAGTTGGACCGCAGGTTTTAGTCGATGTTTCCATCCAGGGTTGCACTTGGGGCACCTTTTTTTGACCAGCCGCATGAACTCAGCTACTGTGGGTGCCCCCCCCCTTTTTGGACAGTTGCGTCAAATAAAACACGAGCTTGCGTGGGGAGTAAGGTGATGCACTTAAGCCAATGCTTGAAGGTTGGAGGACGGTCCTGTAAGACGACGGATGCCTCTGCAAGTATACGCTTCCTCTGTCCCAAGAAGGGGGGATGGGCGACAGGATCATCCAGGTGGTGTTTGGAAACGCCCTCCTTACCACAAATGAGCCTGAATGCAAATGTTTCGGCTTCTGTATTTCCTACTGACGACAAGCACGTATCCGCAGCTCAAAGGAGCAAAACCCGAACTACCATTGGTTGGACTGGTCAAATGATTTCTTTAGTGGGAAACCGAAAAGGAGCCGTGCCTAGTGAGGCCCCCGCCATGCCCCACCATCTCGCAGGTGACTTGCCTAGACGACTTCAAGCTGATCGACGCGGCTTGGCGGAAACGTGTCCCGGAAGTTGTTGTTTTTTTCTCGCTTGATGCTCCTGGGTGAATTATAACGACCTCACCCGACCGAATTTACCCCAAATGGTGGTTTAAGTGGGGAATAGCCCAGGCTGGTGAAATATTACTCAGATGCTCAGTTTGTCTCGGTACCTTTTCGGTTGGGTTGTCGATACGGGAAACGCAAGGACAGAGAACCCGTCATGTGCTTCTGGGGTCAGACATGGACATGACCCATTTACTCTGGTACACTGTATGCGTTCCAGCGCGTGCACTTAGCTGACGCAAAGCAGCGACTACTTAATGACGACAAATTTCAACGACCGTGTTTTACTTTTTGAATTTTCCATGGCCAATAGGAGATCAACAGAAGTGCTTCAACACAGATAGCCTAGATAGCATGTTCCAGGTGTTTGCATTCGAAACAAAAGGTGAACGCCTAGTCAGTGGCACTCCGTTGTCAGGATGTGCAATGTGGGTTTGCCCTTTGGAGTCGGCATGTTTTTTAAGAGCGATTTGACTTAAAGGAGAACAACTGGAATACCATATTCATGTCAGGACGTTCCCCATTGAGAAGTAATATGGTCAAACGGATGATTGCCTCATTGGCATCAGATACATCAGATCCTTGGGCCAACAAATTCATCATGCCAACATACTATGGTAGCCCACAAATTGGCGAGCACTGGAATACAACAAAACTTGGCGGCCCACTGTGGGGGGGTGCTCAACGTGCTCAACCATGGTCCGGAAATTGCCTCAGGGATTCCTTGTTTAGTGAATTCCCCAAAAAACATAGGATTTTGGTGCTGCTTTTTGGTTTTACTTCAATCCACCATCAAGGGTACCACGGTAGCCACAAAAAAAGGCAGACACAAGTCAGCCACAAGTAGCCACGAACCCAAGTCATTTACCTGAGGATGAAACTGGGCTGGACCAAGCCAACGCTTTCAGCTTGAAGGTCTTTGACACAGTTATCCCCTTGTTTCAGGTGTCGGGTCTTTACAGAGAGAGAGAGAGAAAATACTCATGTTTCAGAAATAATAATAATATATATATATATATAAAGAACAAGAACAATTGACTTTTCACAACCAATGCGAGGTGTTGGATGTTGTCTTCTGATCCGGTAGAATGCTCATGCCTTTCTTCGCCTCTCGCGAGGCGACTATGGCAGAGGAGGTGATCCAATCGCTGCAGCTGCCACCCGATCGCAGCTTTTTTCTCCGGCGGTTTCTGGTCTAAAAGGTATCCCTGAACTGGGTGGCTCCCAACCATCCGGATTGTGGTTTTCCCTCAACCCGCCAATGCGGGGGATCTGAGGGCGGCCCAGTAAACGGAGGTTGTGAGATCACCCTTTTGTTACAAATCCGAAAAGAAGGTTGCTTTGTTCTTTGTGACTGCACTTGGTTTTCTATAGTGAATCTGTCTCGGAATGCTGAAACATGGTGGTCGAGACACCACTGTTGTACCTTTTTCCAAACCCATCCTGAGAAAAGACTTTTCCGCACATCAGCGCATCACCTTCTTTTTTGGATGCCCCAGAAAGGGTGGAGGGTAACAGCTGGAGCTTAAATCAAACATGATTGGTGGCCTGGTGACGCTGAACAGGGGCCTACTAAGGCCCATCGATTTGAGGAGGCTAGCCACTGAACAAACAAATGTACGTTGTGAATGGCACGTGAGGCAGCTTGCAGAATAGAGCCGCCGACAGGAAGGCGACCCCTTACCCTCCTTCCAACAGGCATGGACAGGAGGCTTCCCCCAAAAGTCATTGGAAGGAGGGTACAGTCCCAAGATTGGAAGAACAATCCAATTTATTCTTTGGAGGGAGGCTTCCATTGATCGCTTCCTCCCAGGAACCCTGCCGTGATCAGGGAAGAAATTCCCCCCACGGCTGGGGATATAGAAGATTGGCAGGGTACCCTGCCAGCCACTAACATGGAACCTTGCAGCCGGTCGTCCAGGGCTATGTGAGCCGCAGACTTGGCCTCTGTGAGATTCGTGTGTAGGTGGGAGGTCGGCTCTGGGACCCGGACGGGTTGCCTCGATCCCAGTTGGCAGGTCATTCGAGCTTTTTTGAATTCACGAGAAACACCAAAAAGAGCATATAGGTCATGTGCTGTTTTTTCCAGACCCCATACTTGGCATCCAGATTGGCCCCCCCCCCCTCGGCGCAGCCCTTTCTCACCCCTTTTTGGTTGGGAGGGTTCCCCTACTAAAATAGGCTACCGAAAAAGAAAGTAAATCTTGGGTGCCCTTATTCTACCCCCTCTACGGGAGGATCTAGAGAAGGACATCGCCTTCAACTCGGCTCGCCTCAGGAAGCTGGTCACCGCGCAGAAGTTTCGCCAAGCCGTGGCGGAAGCCCGGACCGGTGCACCGTGCGAGGCGGGGTCGGGTGCACCCGAGGTGAGTCAGTGAAGCACCGGGGACTTTCGTTGCCGTGACTCCACAAAAAGGAGGTCTGGATGGACAAAACCTAGCACCACCTATATAAGACGGTGTTTTTCTGTGCCCAGCCAGCAAACCATGGTTTTTGGCTTACCTATATATAAGAATGTCTGAAATGGCTCTTTTTTCCTGTAAATAGCCAGCAAACAATATGGTTTATGGCGTCAAAGTTGTGCAGGATTCGGCCCATCCACAGTATGACAGCCAGAAATTGGATTGGAGCAGGGAGCTACCCAAGACTTGCTCACACACCAGGGTTGGACCATTCATTTTCTTGTTGCAACCATGCTTGTAAGCACTATTATTATTATTATTAGTTATTATTATTAGTTATTATTATTAGTTATTATTATTAATTATTATTAGTTATTATTATTACTTATTATTAGTATTATTGTTGTTATTGTTATTGTTATTGTTATTATTATTATTGTTGTTATTGTTATTATTATTATTATTAGTATTATTATTATTATTATTAGTTATTAGTATTATTATTTCTATTATTATTATTGTTATTATTATTTTTTATTATTATTATTTATTATTATTATTATTATTATTATTATTATTATTATTATTATTATTATTATTATTATTATTATTATTATTATTATTATTATTATTATTATTATTATATGTTTTTTTGGGGGCTCCTCAGAAAGTATTACACATAATTTTGGTTGACTAGATATGGACCAGAATCCAAGCATATACATTATATATATATATGTTTTGAGTTCACCCGGGTTATTGTGAACATGATTGGATTCACAATCAAAACCCGGGTAGATGCAGGTTAGCAAGGGCCAGTCCCAGCCGGAAATAGTTGCGGCCTCGTTTTCAATTGCTTGGATGCTTCTGGGTTCGCCATTTTTGTACCAGGTTTTGATTATGACGCATTTGAGCTTTATGTTAAAAGGAATCGGACCAGCCGCTGGCAGTTGAAGCAAAAACATGGAGCCAACCCTGATGCACACCGTCGCGTTGGGCTTGTTGCTTGCCCGGGGCAGGATTCGAGAGGAATCACGTGGGGCAAGCAATTGCTGTGGTGCGTGCTCCTTGTCTGAGCCGAAGACGGGAGATGACGAGGCAAGAACTTGTTCAGTTGCCACCATAGGATGTAACCCTTCAATATGTGTTGTCTCTTTGTTTCTGTTTGTTTGTTTTCATTTTTGTTGTTTTCGTTTGATTGCTTCTCATCTGTTTTTGTTTTTAGTTTTAAGAGCGACCAGTAATCAAAGGGTTTAATTTTCCTCCTGCTGCTTTGTGGTGATGAAACAAAAGGTTGCACCGAAAAAACGCTGGCAGGCCGACAGCTGGGCGGTGGTGTCCACCTGCGAAGCCCAGGCGGCTCGAGGGGCGAGGGTTGGAGCGGCGGGAGGTCACCAAAGGCGGGGGCTGTTGAGATCTGGCCATGGGCCAAAATCCAAATCGTAATCCCAGTGAACATCCCAATCCCCCCCACTAAAATAGGTTCTAAAATGGATGGCGAATTCGCCTACCCCAAAATGATACCATTGGTTTTGGGTCAAAAATTAAGCCACCAGGAATTGGACCGCAGGTTTTGGTCCATGTTTCCATTTACCTGGATTCCATTTTGCGTACATATTTTTGACTCACAGCCATCTGTTTCAATTGCTGTTGGGAGAGGCGCACTTCTATAATATGCGGAAAACATGTTTTTTTTCCCTGCAAGCAGCAGAAGTGACACTTTCGGGGAGTGACACTCTATATGCGAACAGAAAAAGAGCTGCTGTCTCCCTGTACTTAGCAGCAAAGGCGAAGCTTTTCGGGGGTCAATGATGCCAAGAGCTAGGATGATCTATATTCGAAATATAGGGCAACAGTCCAGCAACACTCCCTGAAGGATCCTATGCGAGTTTTGCTTGTCCTTGCAGAAGTCTTCAGGGTGCCGCGGGAACTTACCCTGCATCATTAAGCAGCTTTTGCCTTGACTGAAATTATGAAACTGGTAGGATGGAACCTTAACCAAGCCAACAGACCCCCAAAGGTTTCATGCTCTCTGCCTCATTGTGGCTCTTAGGAGGCGTTCCATTTCGCAAAGTTGCCCTTACAAACATCTCCCACCTGCCATCGCTTGGGGCATACAAGGCTTTTGGCATCTTGTTTCTTGTTGCTGCCTTTCACTTTGTGAGGCGAAAAGTGACCAATGTCCCATTACTCTCAACACGAGGCTTGTGTCAAAACCGGGGCCCTAAAGGTTCTTGCAGGGAAAGCAAACGGATACCAACTATTTGAGAGAGTTGGGAGATATGTTAAAGCACGCACACACATGCCCGGCTCCACTTCTTGGCCCTGTTTGCTTTGCCCCCTTGGCCCGGTTTGCCTTACCGATTCCATCGCAAGCCCAAGGGACTCAGCAGTGTGACCCTCTGAAAGCAGGTTTCCCTTAGGTTTCGCAGGCATGGAGACAAGCTCATATTAACAAGCAGGTGAAACGGTAAAGTAAGGGGTCCAGAAAAGAAAGGAAAACCTGGTTCTGCAGACGCACACACACACACATACACACACACACACACACACAGACACACACAGACACACACAGACACACACAGACACACACAGACACACACAGACACACACAGACACACACAGACACACACAGACACACACAGACACACACACAGACACACACACAGACACACACACACACACACACACACACACACACACACACACACACACACACACACACACACACACACACACACACACACACACACACACACATTTGGTCCAAAGCCAAACCGCTTCCCTTTTTGAAGGCGTCCTCTTGTAATTCGCTCGCACCCAAGGTGTCCTTTTGTAATTGTTCCAGGTGTCCTTTTTGCGCCAGGCGCCAGTGCCGCCGCCTCCGGCAGAGGTTCCGGCAGAGGTCCATGCGGTGCAGGAGGTGGGGTGGGTCTCAAAGATTCGGACGTCCAAAATCGGCGGTGACTTTTTGGGTTCCCCTTCAAATCAAAAGCCCCCAAAACAGGGCGGTGTCCCTCTGGTTTTCCTTCGCGTCCCTGGCTGCAAACATGGGTTGGATTGAGATTGCCCTTTTTGGGCCCCTTGAACAAACCCCCCCCCCCCCCCGACCCCCTTTGGGCGCCTTGGGCTTTGCGCGGCGCGGTGCCTCGGGTTTCGTCGCTGGAGTCAGGTCATCGCCATCTGCATCGACCGCTCTGGGTCCATGGGGACGCCCTTCGCGGAGGTGACGCTGAATGTGGTCCGAGGCATTCCCCGCTGTTCAGCCCACGTGGGGTTCGGGTCCGGGAGCAGGGTCCGGGAACCGAGGTGGCGGGTTTTTTTGAAAGGTTGGGCGAGAAATCCGGCGGGTGGTGCCGGTAAAATGAGTCCATGCCGTGGTGTCTTGATCTTAGGTTTCGTGTTGGCCTGGGATTGGAGTGGAACTTGAACCAAGTCCAAATCCAACCATGAACAGCTTTTGAGGGATCCAGAAAAGAAGATCTACCTCGTTTTCGGGCGGCCCTGTTGTTTTCATGGAACGCAACGAAGACCACCTTTTTGTTGGAGGACATCAGGGATCGCTAAGGAGTCGCTGAACCCCCCGCCCTCAAAACTCATTGCTTCGAGCGCTTGGGGCATCTTGGGGCCCTCGAGGTCCAAGAGGGGAAGTGGACTCGACGCTTGGTTGGAAGCCCCTGAAAAGTGGTTGGTGGACGTAAAAAAATATCCCCAAAATGATGTCCTTGAGGGGTCCCTGATTATTTTTTGCATGCCCAGATGTGTCCCAAGCGCTGCATGTATGCTTTAAACATACCAGCCACATTCACCCTCACCGGTCAGTTCCAGTTGGGTTTCGCCTTTGCAACCCCCAAACGAAAGGAGCTTCTTCCGGAACCACAGGGCTTGGGTTGCATGTGAGCGGCGTTTTTTTTCTTGTTTCTTTTTCCTGCTCAAGTAAACATGTATAGATGTTGACATATCAACAGGTAGCGCCGCGCTGCAGCCGCAGAAGGTTTGCGGAAGGTTGTTTTCCCGCGGAAGCTCGTGGAAGGAATCATATTAGTTTGACTTCGTTTGGGCGGTTGTTGCCAAGCTCGCTTACTGGCAAACCATGCACATGAATTTCCTCGGAAGCTACCTTCCTCAGTTTCCAGACGCAACTTGCCTGCGGAAGGCCCGCGGAAGCACTTACATAAACTTATGTAAAAACATGCTCGCGGAAGGTACAGCGCAGAAGCTTCGCGGAAAGTCTCGCGGAAGGGTTTGATGCGTCCATGCAGAGTTAAAGGGAATCAACACCCACTCATATGAATCAGGAGTGTAGTCGCCCCTGGTGAAAGGTTTAGTGACCCACTAAATATTTCTGGACAAGTTCGGCAGCCAGCCATTTGGTCGGCCCATGGAGATTTTTTCTCGATTGGTTCCTTTGGATTCCTTCAGTTTCTAGGGAAGCACCCGGGAGGGGGTTGGGGAAGCACCCGGCCATTGGGGGCGGCCTTCTCCGTGGCCTGTGGACTCCAACGATCCATCGCTCTCAGGGGAGACCCGGGACAGCGTGGCGGAGCGCACGCGCATGGAGGCGGTGAAGGCCATGTTCTACGCCTTCCGGGACCGCGTGGAGTCCGGGAGCCCGGTGCGAGGTGATGGCCCGGGCCGGTGAAGGGAAGAAAGGACTCGTCCACTAGGGACCGTCTCTTCATGGTTGTTGTTGGGAAGCATTGGAAACATTTTTGCTTATGGTGGTTTAGTGGCTGAAAGCCCCACTTAACTGCTAAAATTATTTTTTGTTGACCGCGTGGAGCCGAAGAGCCGAGCCGGTGAGACGTGATGCTCAGTGGTTCAGTGGCACCACGGTTTTCTTTCCCAAGAAGGGTTCCCTTTTTTTCCCAGGGTCACTGAACAACTGAGGAAGGGCCCTGGAAGCAAGGACTCCCCCGCTAAAGCAAGGACCCTCTCTTGGTAGTACATGGTGGGGGGGGGGGTAGTAAGTAGGGGTTGACACTGATGGGCGTCAGAGACACGCATACCGTCTCTTGGTCATAAAAAAGGGGGGTGGGGTTATTAAGCAGGGGTTGACCAAAAGGGGTTGACATAAATAGACGTGAAAGACACGCATTCATCTGTGTTATTGTGATTCGTCACGGTTCCGCTGTGTGGATTCAACAAAAGATCATGGCACCACTATTTGTGGACCATAAAAAAAAAAACATAAAACATATATGGTATGTGAACCTTGCTGTGTGAGGTAGGAACGTTATATTATAGATCTGCCTGCCCATTGAGAATACCGTGATGTGTGTTGTTCATTTTGCCCAAGATGTGTTTCGTCATTTGTGAGGGCAACAAGAACAAAGAAGCAAAACATGCCAACAAAGAAAATCAAGAACAAACAAACACGCACACACACAAACAAACAAACAAACAAACAAACAAACAAACAAACAAGCAAACAATCAAACACACAAACAAACAAACACACAAGCAAGCAAGCAAGCAAGCAAGCAAACAAACAAACAAAGAAACAAACGAGCAATCAAACAAACAAACGAGCAAACAAACAAACAAACAAACAAACAAACAAACAAACAAACACACAAACACGCAAGCACATGAGCAAACACATGAGCGTGCCAGGAGAAAAAATCAGGCTCCCGCAGCGCAACGAAAGCACAGCCTGGTCATTTTCCTCACTTGGGTGGACTCTCAGAGATGTCTCGAGGTCCATGGGCGCCGGAAAGTACCACCTGGGGCTTCTGCAATTCGACAATCAGGTGGAGACACGAGTCTGAAAGTGAGTTGCTTCGGACAGCGGTTGTCTGCTTAAGATGTGTTTTGTTGTTTGTTGTTTGTTTTTTGTGTTGTGTTTGTTTTTATTTTATTTTGAGGGGCGGGGGATGGAGGGGGTGATGTTCTTTGATCCACCTTTTGAAGGGCAGTTTCGAGCAGGGCGGTGCTTAGACAGCCGAATACTGGACGAATGCTTGGAATGGCTGACAAAAGTTGTAGTGGCTTCCATGCCAAGACTTATTCCAAGACAGGTAGAAAAAGGAGCTTCACGGTTTTTAAGGGACAACGAGGGGGGGGGTCCCTGTTTGGAAGCGGCCCATGGCCATCTTATATGGGGTGGCTCAAAAATCAAAACCTAGGGTCACGCAGGTTTTAGTCTTTGGCTTCATTGACCTCTCTGTGCCATGTTGCTACATAAGCCACAGCCATCTCAAAATCAAATCCTAGTGGTCTGGTTTCAGCCTTTGGCTGCAAAACTCCGCTCGGTGACCATTTTGGCAGATCTTTGTGAGCCACAAGTTGGGGTGATGTTCCTTGATCCACTTTGTTTTTTTGGGGGGGGGAGGGCGGGAATGGAGGGGGTGATGTTCAGTGATGTCCTTTGACAGGGCGGTGCTTAGCCAGCCGCATATTGGACGAACGCTTGGAATAGCCACAAGTTGTCCCCCGAGATCTCTCAGGAAGCTTCTGGACACCACGCCGGCGCTGGATCGCTTCGAGAGCATCGTGGACGACATGAAGAAGCGGGGCCAGACCGCCATCTACTCCTCCATCCTGGAGGCGAGAGCGTTGCTTTGAGGCTGACAAAGTACCCGTGTTGAAGTATGACCATTTTGAGGCAACCAAAGAAGAGGGGTGTCACTCATGTTCAAGATCCCGGAGGCGGAATGGACATGAGAGGGGGACCGGGTGGCCTTATCTTGACTGCTATTGGGTTAGATCTTTAGACTTTAACTTTTTGGGAAATCAGTGGTTTTCCACTAAACCCCAAAAAAGTTAAACTTTTTGCAGGGGGGGGTCAACAGCAACCAAGTTATGTTTTTGTTTTTTTCTTTTTTCACGAGATCATTC